AATTTCAAGGTCTTCCTGGTTTTTTTTGTTTCTAACATTTCTGTAACTTCTTCTTTATTATTTCATTAAAGAGTTTATTTTCCGTTTTGTATAGTTTTATTTTTAACCAGTGATTTTCAGGACTACGGGTTTTCAGAGGCATACATAAAACTGGCATTCAGTCACTTATTTAAATCAGTTATGTGACAGTATAAAGTGTATTTCGATGGAACAGCATCGCCTCCAAAATTCGATAACTGCTTTTACTTAACTTGGGGGTCATCAGTGTGTCGTTACCTTGTGAAAAAAACTTGAATTCAGACAAGAGACTAGACTCACTTCACCACAGTCACCCGATTTCGTGGAAGCCGCAATAGAAAACTTTGGGGAAGTTTTAATGAAATGTCACAAAACTCTAAGAATCACCTCAGTGCTGAATGTTCAGAGATAAACTGCGTTGTACAAGACTTATAAATTTTTCCTGATAGTAAGAAAAAAGAAACTGAAACTGTTGCATTTTGTTGCCGGGTGTTTGTTAGTAACGCTTACACGAGCAACTTTGCCCAGGCTTTTAGTTTGTTATTGCTATGGCATAGCAGAAAGCTTCAGGGTACAGACATTTTATAAGGTCATTATTATCCAGTTAAGTTAAAGGTAAAGCCATAGCGTGACCATAATTTCGTCACTTAGGATTTCTAAAATATTAAAGCGCCAACTCTGACAGCATAAAGGAGCATGAAGTATCCTTGCATCAAGGATCCTAAAGAATTAACGTTATTTCTCAAACAATGCCATTGTTCACATAACTTGCGAAAAAATTAGATATGGTTGTAGACTCGATTTAATCTCAATAACACTAGCAAACTGTCATCATTGTAAAAGCTCATCAAATACAACGCCGGGTTGACTTCGTGTATAACGGTAATAGAAGCTGAACTATGAGACAAATTCCCCATTTAACCTCGTTCACCAACCGCATTCTAACTCTCACTATGTAACTACAGTAATAAAAGCTAGATACCAATTTTTTCGGTAGAATTTATTTCGTACGTTCTGTTACTCAAACATACAATAAGCATCGAGGTGAAAATCATTGTGTACCCAATTTTAGTAAGCGTCATCCAGCACTTATAGTCAGGCAGACAAAAGCAAACTAAAAACAAGAAGCGAATGGAGTAAGCGAGGGAAAATATTCACACAAAAAACACCCAAGGTTGCTAGTTAATAATGGACTAGGGTATATATACAAAATAACCCAAAATGATCAAGTGAATTTTCTTGTCCAGAAGTTGGAATAAATTCATGTAAGTTACTATGTGACCCCCCTGTAGAAATTGTGCAATAATTTTTGAAAGTTTCTAAAAAAATTATTCGCAAAAGATATGCAAAAAGCGTTTGACGGGCAACAAAATAATGTACTAATTTAAGCAAAGTACAATGCTAATTGAAAGTTGAGTGTGTGATGTGGAAATGCTGAATTTTCGTAACAACAAGTATGTATATCGTGTAAGTACGGAGACATTTTAAGATGTTATCAATAGAATGCTATCCTGTCTCGGTAATTAAACATCTTGTTGGAGACCGTAATCTCTGTAGTATCATTTGATTAGATGGCTTTGAACCATCTTTCAAATCTATCGGTACGTGTTAGTATTTATGTTTATTCTCTAAACGATGCAAACGGACCAACTCTGTTTACATGGACGTGCTTTAATCTGTTATCTGGTTTCGAAAATGTTTCAATGAATTGACAGTATATCAATCGACTTAAAACGGATGGCAGGCTAGAAAAGCCTGTGCTCACTGTCGGATATCACTGTTCAATTTCCTCCGTGACTACTTCGAATTACTTTGACTGAAGTCCTGACTCGTAATTATAAAATCCCATGTAATTTGCAAACAGTCTCTTTCATTTTATAGACATGTCACAAATGTTTTAGGATTATCCATGTTCATGAAATCTCTTCAATCAGCCGTGACTTGTCAACCCTATCCTAAACCCTTAGTAGTAAATCTCTTAAATGTATACGACCACTGACGTGACTCTTAAATTTCGGAATACGGATTTAATAAGTGTCGTCTGTTTAAAATCCGATTGTCGTCATTGACGTTTATACAAATCAACTTTAAGGATCCACCCTAAGACTTTTATAATGGAATGTATAGATCTAGATGATAAGTCTTGCGGATTGAACGCTATATTCGTCTCCTAAGCTATTCTGTAACCCCCAAGCTAGAACTATACAGCGACCTAAACACGAGAGAGAAGACTCAAAGTATGCGAGTAGTTTACTTCAAGGTTCATTTTAATACGGAAAATACAGGGTTTTTATAATATTTTAAATGTTCTTGGGTTGCTAGAAGATTATGGAATGGCACTAGACTTAGTAGCAGTACAGCAACCAGCCAATCAGAACCTCTATATGTGACGTTCCGCTTCCTTGATATTTTTGGCAAAAACTCCAAGTGAACGCTGACTAGAGGAAACGCTTCTTAGTGTTTCCTGATTCTTGCTTATCTCTTGCGAGAAATTTGCCGGATCACCCCAACACTAGAGATTTCGTTAGTTTGCATAAATATTCAGTAAACTTAAAGCTCAGTCGCTTCAGAGTTTTTTCCCAACCATTTAGTGACATGTCTGCGTTTTACTTTAAATTATTTAGTTGGAGTTGTTGAAAGACATATTTAATCCACACACAGAGAAACATAGTATAAAAATGAAAATCATTTACTGGCGTACATCATTTTCATGATTAAAGATATCAACACGAAATTCTTGCAAAGCAACGAGTTAAGCAAATCCTAAAGTGTAAATATGTCAGTCATAACAATTTCTATTTTTAAACTGTGAATACTGAATATGCTAGTTCGATTTTTTCTTATTTTCAGATTATATATGTACTGATATTTTCACCTGCAGTCTTTCCCAGTTATTGCCAGTTACAAGTCATCGAGGTGTATCGTGTGACCAACCTAAATATGATAGAAAACCAAGATTCTATTGAGCTCAAAAATTATAAAAAACTAAAGAATACATACAAACTCTTTTGTGTGGGTTGTGTCGTTTTTCTTACTGGGTTTCTTTTCATATTTTTTGGCCGTCCATACACATTTGATCGAACAAACAAGGATTTGTTCTTTGTTTTTGGACTGGTTTTTATTTTCCCCGGATCATTCATAACATTGTTGTCAGCGTATTTTCTTTTTCGTCTGTGGAATACTTCAAATGACTTCATAAAACTTAATAAAACTCCTGTTTATCCTGAAGATACAGTTGAAGACCTTGTACCTCCTGAGAAACAATTGGTTGAACCCATAGAAACTTCTCCTAATTTTTCTAAATTTGGTTTAGACTTAAATGAACCTATATAAACTATCAACACTAACCAAAACAATCATTCTACCTATTACGTGTTTTCTTGTTTTACGGTCATTTGGAGGCTTACCAGTCTTTTTGTATAGAAAATAAATAATGCACATATTCAGTTTTTCTATTTTTATTTATTTACCCGAAACAAATTGAATTTTAATTAAAAGTTAAAGTTTTAACTTGTATATACTCAAAACTGCTTTATATGTATGTCCCACTTTGTATGTACCATCTTCGATTTGATGTAGAAGAGGAAAATAATCAGCAATCCCGTTTGTTCCAGTAAGTCTAAATGTAATCTGAACTGATTATGGTTTTTGGTACAAACGTTCTCATTGTTTTTTTTCACCATAAGTTGAATGAATATGAAGCACTAAAGTTAATGAATATGTAGTTATATGTTGTTGAAAACGTGAATCTAAGTTCACATCACTTTGACCACTTTCGATGGTTTAACTTCAAACTATTTTGTCGGGTACATTTGCTAAAGGTGAACACCACATTACATAGAAATTACGGTATAGAAATCACTCTCGTGTTGCTTGTTTATTAATGCTGTCAAAGTTACTATCATCACGTTTACCACGTATTTATATAATCAAGTAAATCGATGTATCAACCTACTATATTCTGATTGTTTGCGCGTGAAACTTTTGAATAGCCTCAGTGTTATATTTTAGATGAAACTTAGTTTCAGTAATTTATGACTCCAAACACTAAAATTCATGCTTACCGCTTCCAAATGTATATATTCAAAGTCTTAAAACAATAATTTAGGCCAAGATAGAGGTTTTGTCATTCTTAGATGACATGATATTGAATATTCTGTTAGAGGCAAAATCATCACAATGGATGATAAATAATATGGAAACTCAAAAGATAATCCATCATATATATTATTTAGAGGCTATAACTATTAGTAGTTGTGTTTATTCATTAAAGTCTGTCTTTCATCTTTTGGTTCGAACAAAGTATAAGTTTTTTATGATTTTGTTGACCCTGGATGAAAAGTGTTGATAAGTTGTTATGAAGAACTTTGATCTACAACCAAATAAATACCTTTTTGTTTAAATCGGGCTATTACATGAATAACTAACGCTATTGTACAAAAGATGAACTTTATCTTAGACAGTGATGCAAAATCTTATACGACTGTCTCATAAAGATCATCAGCTACACTAATTTACCCAAAACAGGTAACGTGAATATGTGTAACACATATGTTCGTCCCGCTTCCCACCTCACTATAATATACACTGTAATCCGACCCGGGGAAATTTTTATGTGATCAAATTAAGATATTTTACAAGGCCATACAATCAACAACTAATAGATCGTCTGAGTATTAAGTTTATTTTTCAGTATGCTGGCACAGGTAAAACGTTGGTCGCAAACCAAATCGCCGCATATAGGAAATCAAACTGGTTTTATAATAATAATGGTGATAATAAAAATGAACAACTCATTGAAATGATTCTCTATCATGAAGACTTTTGTTGTCTTAATTCTTCCATTGATCCTTTACTCACAACTCATGGTGTATAATAAAAATAAATTGTTTGTTGAGTATCGCAGATTTTAGACTGTTCCTAACAATTTTCAATTTGATGTATCAATCCTTAAGATTGTCAACGAAAGAAATCTATCCAATTTAACTTCAAATAAAAGGTTTTATTTGAATTACGATTATTTTCACAAGCACTGTTAATCGATAGTTAGATTCTATGTAAAATGCATCCAAAATCATGGTTGATTAATTCAATAACGTTTAACTTTTCGGAAATATGATAATTTGTGTTAAAATCATTCAGAGTTTCCTTTATCAAAATGATAATTTAGTAGGGTACTTAGAAATGGGAAAATAAACATTCACGTTTTTCTCTTAGTTATATGATCGTAGATAACAACTTGAAGATACTTGTCAGTTTCGACGATTGTTCTTATGGAATTATCACCAGGGGATGCAGCCTGAAATGAATAAAAATTAAACAGTGCGATATTTAATTACAAGACATATGGTGTAAAAAAAGTAATATTTTCGTAGTATAATAAATTCAGGGATCAACGTTTTTGATTTGTAGAACAATCTAAAAATTACGCATTGATCATGGAATTATAAAAATGTCCCCTAGAGGTAATTGTTTATATTCATTTAAAAATATGAATTAAAACTCTTGGGTAATGTTGCTTCTATCATGAGGATTGAAAACTAAGGGAACAATTTAATTTTACTGATACAATCAAATCACTAGTTAGACATTCATTAAGCTGACAAAGTTTGAAAATATATTAAATAAATAATAAGACTGGATTTAAGTTATACTTAATGTTTGGATTCAGTCAAACCATCTACACAAATCTTATGATTAGTACAAGGAATTGATATACAGTAATCAAGTCCTTATCTATTTTTTAAATGTCATTTAAAGCTAAACAAGTTAACATCAGACTTAGTTGATAAGGTTCGGAAGTGTGGTAATGTACGGTTTAAAATATTCTGCTATTATCCATAAACGTTTAGTTCTCTCATGTGATGATTGGTAAGGAAGCCTGAAATTCTAATGTATAATGAGCTATTAATAAAAGCTGTCTAAATTCAGGCCTGAAAAATTCATACTTGAATAATGCTAGAAATTCATGCAATTTTTCGATCAAAACTTACGAAACAATAACTTACAGTTGAGTCAACATTTAAAATTTTTCTATCACGTTTATTCTTCAAAAGAAGGCCATTAGGATTTTCTGTTATTACAGTATAATTCGGTGATGAATTGGCTACAACATTGTGAGTTTCCCAATTGTAGAAACTAAGAATTAAGTTAACGTATATTTACATATATTAGTTTTTGTGTGGAATATTCATACTTCAAACAGTTATTTGCACATGGAATCTTGTTAATAAAAGCCAACTTAGGTGTTGATTTAAGATAAGTGTGTGTCCTTGTTTCCAAATGGATGAATTAGTTGGGAGACTGAACTTAAGGTAGTTAAAAATGAATAGGTGGAGAGGGATTCATTCTCAAGAATTTGTGAATAACATTAGAAATTTAAGAACTATAGATTAGAGATATTGTATTTATAAGAATAAGAGTGAGCATTTTAAATACATGCTGCGGGATTATTTAAAATCTTTGGAAACGTAGAAATGAAAAGCATATCGTCAGAAAAACCAACCAAATGCACCATACCATGCAGTCATCTTTGATTTAAAAACTACTTTATGTTTCACTTTAGAATAGTTAAACACATTTTTAGAAAAATACCCAGCCTGATTATTCCTTCAGTGTTTTAAAGGATTATAGTGTGCACAAACTTTCTTAGCTAAAATGGCCTTATTTAACAAAATTGTGGTATTTTAGGAAGTTAAATAGCTGAGTATGAGCCCGGAAGTCAGTTAGTAATATTCACCTTATAAACTAGGATATTTGTGCATCGGTTTAAGTTGCTACATCACATTAACGAAGAGTAAAAGTTATCAACACAAATGCTAGAGTGGTAGAAGTAGCAGCATCAGCAGCAGTAGAAAATGTTAGATATATAAAAATGAAACACCCATGAAGCGATTTCGGGACTCATGATCTAAAACGATGTGAAGAATGAGTGCACCTGGGTCATTACGAACGACTGTGAGCCATATCATTCAACTTCTACAACCATTGGTTATGATTATCACTCGGGTCCCAATTATGTAGTTTGTATTTACCAATATGTCTGCCACACAAATAACTTCCCAAACTGCTATCACGTATTGATTTTTCGGACCCTACCTTTCTTTTAACCTACTTCTATTTCAGATAAAACCTCTCGACGAGATAGGCGGTGGTTAGGCCTACGTGGTGCATATCCAAACCACCTCAGCTGATGAGCCTTCATTACCTCATCAACTGAATAAACACCTTCATTTAAAATCTTATGCTTAACATTAGCACTGATCGATTGGTGGTCCCAAAATACTCAATCTGTGTTTTAAAATACCTAAAATCAAACAAAAGTAACCTCCAAGTGTCCTTTAGCTTTAATGATCATGCTTAGCATCCATAAAGTGGGATAAAGATTGCTGCTGCACAGTATATTTATCTTTTAGTTAGCAAACGAGCATCTCACCTACTTTACAAGTGACACATTTTGGCAAAGGCCAATTAGGCTTTCTGAGTCTGTTTCGAAACTTGGTCATAAATGCATATAGATCAACGGTTTCAATATTACTAGGAAGTTTAATTACTGCATACTTATTGTACCATGGTTGATCCAGTGGAACTTTGAGGCTCTAGAAACAATTCGTTTATTCAATATCTTAAAATAAAATGTCTTTCAGTTTCTGCATTTTGATTCTTTTGCGAACCTAATGATATAACTATGGGATTCTCTGAATAAAATCATATAAAAACTAACTGCTGTCTATTAAAAATAGTAAAATCGACTTGCTAAGCAAATTAAACACACTGTTTTACAATATACCTTAGATCTCCTGTTCTTGGGAGCAACTTTTTCTTTTCTTTAAAGTACACTGTGAAGTCCTCAGATTTCAAACGATGTGCATAATCTATGTAGCCCGATATTTCTTGACCACGTGAATTCTTATCTCTAATAAAAATAATAGTCTAAAAATATAAAAGTTTAGAATGTAATGCAGAAGTTATGTGTCAGTTGATTTAAAAAAGCATATTGTTAAGGTGGTTGTTGAAAAGTTAGGGAAATATTACCCAGGTGGTCAGACTGAAGTAAACAAAATGGGTCCTACGTTTAAATCTTAGTAGGTGTTTATTAAGGGCTTGAACCAGTAGGATGGTTTATAAAAAAAGTAACATATAAATAGTGGGCTGCAAATAACTCACATGGCCAGTGGTTTATTCATTTTGTAGAAGCAGGCGTTACAAATAACAAATGTCTTTTGGCCATATCGGCCCTAGATTTTCAGGTATGAAAACTATTTGATAAGTTGATTTTTGGATTGTGTTGGTCATGATAACTGTTAGGTAGTCGGAAAAATAGACCAATAATTATCATGTTAAGTCCAATGGTGTCCTTGGACCTTAAATGTACATTTCCCATTGGTCGATATTTATTTAACGTGTATTTTTCCTGTTGGCCAATATTGTACAATGTTATTTTCTACTTTGTGGTACGATGTGGTTTGTTTGCTTGGTATATAAATAGTGTATGTTTGAAATATAATGATTCATAACTCCGAGGCTGTGACTTTTGTTCTTGACTCAACTGGCTGGGGACAGATAGCGAGGCAGGGCCAATCAGGGCACTAGGTCATCCTTACGTGTTTTCCGTGTCACTGTCACAGAAGCGATCGAAATAAACTCTGCGTATCCAAACCCTGCAGTCACTCTCACGTTACAACAATTGGCGACGGGGTAGAGAAAATTTTGAACCCTGTAATTGGACGAGATTCATCCTATTTATTTTGGCCAATCAGCATTCAGATTGATCGTCAGCGTCCTTGGGAGTCATTGGTTGTTAATTGATTACAGTATTTCTCATTACTCTGCTGATTCAGAAAATGACTATCCCCTCAGGTCAATTGCAGATACTACTAGATCGTTACAGAGAGAGCCAGTTGAAAGTTTTGGACTACATGCGCACGCGACTGCTAAATCTCCCGTGTTTCGGAGATGTGAAAGAGGTTGACGAATTAATTTCTCACCTGCATACTGAACTCGAGAATGACTGCAGGACATATGAAGATGAAAACAAAAGCCTCTATGAATCCCTTATGATCAGTAGTGCAAATGAGGCAGTCGCTCATAACCCGTCTAGCGATCCGGGAATGTCCAGTTCAGAATCATGCCCTGTTGTGGGTTCAAATCCCACTATTCCTGAAACGTGTACAGACAGTGATGTACCCAGCTCACAGGAAGATCTCTCATTAAATGCTCATAAATTAATTATAGTGCCCTCTCACAAGGAAACAGGAAACAAATCGTGCACTATACTGAGTCTAGCTGCTCCGAACGGTCCTCATCAGTCAACAACAGGTGACTCTGATGAATCTTATTATCTGGATCCTCTTGTACCAGAAAATGTGTTAGATGCCACAAATGATGATCAGAAGTTGAATACAATTTTGATAGATGTTAATTATCCCAGTGATCGACTATCCACAAATGAGTTTTTCAAGGAATTCTATGGTAATGTTCCAGAAGAATCAAAGGTTAGTGACTTCATATCAAGCGACGTTGGTCCACACTACTTAATCACTTTTAGTGACTTCTCTGTTCCATGTGACCATCATGTGTTAAATAAAGTCAAATTAATTTTAACTTGGAGAGATGAGGACCCAACATTATTTCGTGGGGGAGGATGAACGCAGAAAATTTTAAAACGCAGATATGAACTCCACATCTTTCGAAAAAGGGGAGGTGTTAGGTAGTCGGAAAAATAGACCAATAATTATCATGTTAAGTCCAATGGTGTCCTTGGACCTTAAATGTACATTTCCCATTGGTCGATATTTATTTAACGTGTTATTTTCCTGTTGGCCAATATTGTACAATGTTATTTTCTACTTTGTGGTACGATGTGGTTTGTTTGCTTGGTATATAAATAGTGTATGTTTGAAATATAATGATTCATAACTCCGAGGCTGTGACTTTTGTTCTTGACTCAACTGGCTGGGGACAGATAGCGAGGCAGGGCCAATCAGGGCACTAGGTCATCCTTACGTGTTTTCCGTGTCACTGTCACAGAAGCGATCGAAATAAACGCTGCGTATCCAAACCCTGCAGTCACTCACACGTTACAACAATAACTAAGCAATACATCCTTTCAGTCAGCAACTCTCTATTAAGGTACATATTTACAGCTAAAAAAGGGTTTCAGATCAGTTGGGTACGAATAAGAAGTTAGGCCATACAACTAGAAGTGACAATAAGTCAAGATGTATATACTAAGTTAGTTATTACTGACTTTCGCCATTGATACTTCAAAGGACATGTGATAAACACTGTGAAGTATTAAAATGAGGGCCTCATGGAACGTTTTCAGATAGCTTAAACGATTACCCGTATTGTTTAATCACTATGAGATTGAGGTTAAACCTTTATTTTTGCAGAGTTCTAAATTTGTAAGATTTAAAAATTATCAATCTGTGTTCTTACAGTTTTGTAGACACATTATGACTTCAGATGATGACAGTGATGATTAAATGAAGGTTCGAATTAACTTCATATATATTCTTAAAAATTAGGGTGTCAGAATCAATGAGAATAGTGTTGAGGATGCAACAATTCGTACATATGTTTTACCAGACAGAAAAGGGAAACAAACAAATATCCATAGGGCACGGATTATCGAAATTTCGGAAATCAATCTTGTGGCTAAGATCGATGAATTAAGATTGACTCAACATTTAAAGTCAATGTATGGTAACCCAGCTATACTGACACATACATACAAGAACACATATATTAAGACATGCATGAACAAACTTAAATAACTACACCCACGCAAACACGTACTGTTGTGTAGTATGGTGTCGAACTTCCATACTGACAAAAAGCCTATTTATACATGAGCCAAACTAACTATTAGAGTAACAAGACTGAAGGTGAAACAGTGCTTTAACAACTAAAGGGAATCGGGAATGACTGATTTCTGTGGTCTAATATATCGCGTACTATCAAACCAAAAACGATCAACAATGAGATTTGGGTTGATCCTTTAATTCATTTACCTAAACTTTTGTCGTGTGTTTTATGCCGGCTTCCACAAAATTATCTTAGGAAGCCAACATATAGCCAGATAGTTTATAATATTTACGAAGTTTTCAAATGATCTAAATAGATGAGATTCTCTTAGTATTTTAAGATTTACTACCTCTACTTTCAAATGCTAAAAAATGTTACTTACGGACATTTGACCAGTTCGATTAGAACCTTCCCGCTCAGCTAAAGCTTGGAGGAATGGACACGTTATCTTCAGACCGAAAGAAGACAATGCACTAAAACAAACGGAAAGTTTTATAAGAATACTGATTTATGTGCCTAAAAATTTGTTCTCAAAGATGATCTTGTCATGAGATTATGTTAAAGCGATTTTTCATTTAAGGTGGGGCGGTAAAATATCTGTTTTGATAACGTATATTAGCAACAGGTAAATTAAGACTTGAGTGTTTATAAACTTATATTTCAATATCTTAGGAGAAACAATCCAGACCATTTGAGTACAATGGTAAAAAAGCTACCGAGTATAAAAAGGAAGAAAGTGATTCTAGAGAGAAGCTAGAGTGAACTCCTAGTTTGGATCACTATTTTAGTAATCGTATACTTCACAAAGTCACTACTTTTACCTTATTTTGAGAAATAACGTAAATTCTAAGAGGATAAACAGTCATAGTGAACAATCCACGAGTTTCTTTTACTGGTTTAGTAGTTTTGTAGATATGAAATTAGTGTTTTTGAGGAAATGAGTTTTTTACTATAAGTGATCTTGAAAACCTAACTAGTTCTGTCAAGAAACTAAACCGTGGTTGAGTGTTCAACCATGGTGTGTTAATGTTCAATAAGTTTTTTCAATAATTTATCAGTAAAATGCTGTGAAACGCAAAATACTTTGTTCTTTAATAGGCAGGAGAAATGTGGGCGAAATATTAGGAATGTATGTCTTCTAAAGATACAGCAATTTAAACGTGTTACTTCTAGATAACTAAATCGCTTCATCTAACTCAAGTTCGTAATAGAGCAGCTGAATTCCATAATAAAAGAAGTAATAACCAGAATGATGTTGAAAATTTGACCACTGATTCTACTAAGAAATTTATTTCTCACCTTTTTTACTCTGCAAAACCTATTCCACGGTTTTAAAATTGAATGGTGGTATGTTCAGAAGTTGTGCAAACTCACTTCAAGTAGAATGGGTAACTTATATAATCCTTATCACTCAGTAATTTTGATGATAGCTACTACACCTCAAGCAGCCGAAAAAGAGGAGGTATGGAGTACGTCCTGTAAGGAAATAAGAGGAGGATTAGTCGATAAACTCCAAAACTTCTCCGCCCGCCATGGGGGAATAGCTGGACACTTCCCTTAAATATGCCACAGATATACGGAGTTTGACAACATTTTTACATGTGACACTTCTTTGATTGCACGACATCAACCCGGTCAAATTAAAAGACAGATAGCGAAGATGTACAGAGATATGTTTGGGAAGATAGCAATATGTCGAAAAGTGTTCTATCTAAGTTGGCTAACGGTTATAAGGGATGAGTAGCATGGCGTACTCACTAATGATCTGGTGCGAATGTGTGATCAAGAGCCTTCGAATAAGTATCTCCAGTAAAGCTAATGAGGTCAGAATCAATGACAAGGACTTACAGAACAAATTATTTTGGGGATCTATTTACTGCTATACCATTTTTTGTCTCTAGATGTTTGAAATGTCGCTCAGTTACCTGCATTTTGTCTAAATACACTTCAAATTACCTAGATTTTGTGCACGTCATTGTACAGCATTCGAACTCAAAAAATAAATAAAATGCATTGCAATAATATTAAAAACAACAATAAAATTTGGCTATGGCCGAATATTAGTTATGAAGACCAATGTTTACGAGTCTGCATACACATATACAAGCCTTAATGCTGACCGACAACGGACAAATATGTATACACGAAAACATACAGATCATAACAATATATTTTGAAGACAAGTGATAAAAAGTTGAAAAATGTGCAGACCAGGTACCTAGTAATTTACTTTTTTTGTTGCTCTTTAGCTAGCATTGCCTCAGCAAGTGCTTTCTTACGACTGTTGAACTCCTCACGTTTGAGTGTTTCACCTGATCCTCTGTAACCTAGTTCAACAAGTTGTCGAGCTATTTCCTCATCCTTAAAATGTTCAGGTAATGAATAAAGAATATGGTAAACCTCCAAATAAAAAAGATCAGTGGCCGTTATCTGAGAATCTAGATAGTCTTCATATGTTTCAAACTGTGCTACAGCATCATCTATTCCAACAGATGAAGATATCTGGTCATCGGAGTTAGTTGTCATCAAATTGTATCGTTCCAACTTATATTTCTGCGTCTCATTGCTACGTTGATCAACTGAAATAATACAGTCAAACAAATCATAACCCAAATAGAAATGATCTTAACCTTACTCATAGAAAAATAAGTCTAAAATGAAAAAAGACTTCAATTTTCTGCAAGTTAGGTTATGTTGTCATAACACAATACAGCATTGAATTCAGCCAACTTAGAAGCCAGTATTCTTAGTTTCTAAGACACGATTGTATTCATCTTCTGGTTGACTTCAATCACTAAGATTTTTGAAATCATCATACGCTTGTTTTAATGGACCACTGAGATCACATTTTTGACATGTGTGTTGTTCAATTTAACTAATGATATAAAGTAAGATATTGAAATGGACGTTTTGTACTCTTGTGTTGGTAATGTTGAAATGATTTCATAAAAAAACACTCCTTTTAGCACGAATTAGCAATCAATGCTTTTAAATGCATTTGAAGTTCAACTCAACTTATATTTGGTTTATTTTGCGTATAACTAAGTAGCCACGACTTTGTTCTCCATTGAGTTAATATTTTTCATATCAGTTGTATGTCCAAGAAAGTTCACTGAGTTTGAAGAAATATCGACCATGGTGTGTCTGACGACTCTACTACCCGAAATATTCCCTAACGAAAAAACCTCAATGCCAAAAATACCGGGAGTCAAAGTTGGTGGGGTTAAAACTTTTGTTTAGTGAAGGCCGATATGAATGTATATTCAAATTAAGCTGATTAGATGTCGTGAGAAATGTGCAGCGATTGGCGATCATGAATTGATAAGCTGCATCAAACACTTGGACTCGATCGACACGAGTAAAAGTTTTGAACGACAAAACAGGGTAGGATGTAAGTTTTGACGATATCTTTATCATTCATGTGAATTCGATTTCGAGCTTCTGTTCATATCCTGGAATGTAGCAATTAAGTTGTATTTGTGTTAAGCGGTTGCTAATCACCAACGAAGATGATATATGTCGAAAATGATTGCAGGCCTACTCGAGTTAGACGTGAATGGTGTGACAAACTAGCTAACATCGAAGTCACACCTCATGGTCAGCACCTTACGTGGACTACCCCCATTGACGTAACAAGGTACTATAGATGCTTTGAAGACTGTACAACACAAAGGACGTTATCACAGAAATATATTAGTTAAGGTAGATACAAGCGAAAGTAAGACCACTGCCGCATGGGCCAGTCCATGGCGTATGATTAACTAATGCGCGTTGCTTGTACATGACCTTGGCAGGGAGCGATGATCTGTTCGACATTCAGTGATCCAACTGCCGGATGATTTGGCTAGGGCTCAGTGACATTTCACTGGCCCTACACGGTAACTCTCTATATGGGTTGATACGCGAGCTAAATTATCTTGAGTGTGATGAGATCCAATGCTGAGCATCAAGGAACGCAAGATTATGGGTGAGGGTCTAAATAGTCACAAGCCCAGGGATAAATGAACTTCGATCTCTACCGTTTTTACTATTATCGCAGTTCGTAAGTTTACTTTTGACAATGCGCGTGTTCCTCTAAAATCAATCAGATGTATAGCATTTCTGACTTCAAAGCTCTTATCGAGTATTAGCCGAACGTACACACCGACTGTATAATATGATGAATAAATGTATTCAAACTGATTTTCTAATGTCGGTAGAACTAGATGAGTACAAATGAATTTATCATATTTTAAATTCATTGTAAGAGGGAATCAAGTAAAAGGAATCATCAGTTAGTACAAATACCACAGCTTAAATGAGAATCCTAACTTTTGTAATCGGTTGTACTTCTAAAGTTCATCGCGTGTCTGTCCGATAGCGTATTGGATATACACACTGTATAATCTAGAATGTACCCATTAATGTTGAGATAAACAACCGAAATTGGAAATTTGATCGGCATGACGGTTGGGCATACGATATCATTGATACCTTGAATTTTGCACGGAACATTTTCCAACACTGTTCACCACAATTCGTTTGACTGGTCGGAGGTCATTACCACGATAATACTTAACTTCTAAAGACTTTAAACACTACATATTCTGTAGGAAAATCCTTCTTCTTCGTCACAGAACGTGTCATTTCCATATTGAAGTCGGAAAGTGTATATTTCCCTCTCCAGTTCATAAAATGTCGAGGTGGCAATAGATTCAGTAGCAGTTATTAATGTCCTGAAAAATGTCTATTCCAGACTACTACAATAAAGGTGCTTGGGATCAGGAAACATGTGTTTGTACTCCATACTACTTAACTAGGTAGTGGCTGTGTCCTCAGAAAAATGAGAGTAATTATCATTCATCAACACCATGGGAACCTCTTCTCGACTAACCATTCCTCTTATTATTTGGACTGTGAAGCAAGGACTCAGTGAAGTTATGAAAAAACTTCAGGTCACTTCGAAAAAGTATCAATAGCTATTAGTGCATAGTATTCGTCAAGAAATGGACCACAATAGTCTGGATAAACTCTCCGTCATGTCTCGAGTGATACTGGCTATGGAGCCCACTTCGAAGGATGGCATTTCAACTTATGAATTTCACCGCACGATATATGTCTACATTTATCTCTGGCCACCAACATATGAGACTTGCCAAGAACTTCATTCAAAATCAACCCCATGGAACAGAGGTAATCAGTTCGTTCGATCAAGACATTACAGTCAATATGGTGAGTGACATTAAAACAATATTAAGTAAAGGAAAGATGGAGCTGTTTCTTAAAATTCAATGACATCCTGGAAATACTTAGGATCCAAAAGCCACACACCATGTGGTAAAAATAACTGCAATCAATTTCAAGAATAAAAATCAGTAAAGAAAACGCAAAACAAGACGGAAAAAACAGTATAGTACGGAAGTACGAAGAGCTAGTCAGAAAAAAGATGGTGAATGCGTATGAGAGTATAAAAAACAAATCTTGCAATAAAGTCATTTTATAGCTCAGAACAGCCGATTCTTCTCTCAGAATTTCTGCATAACCGAGTTAAGCAACAGCAAGTTCGCGTGAAACGTAGTTTGGAAGATCCGTAATATATTTCTCAGTTAAACACCGCTAGAAAGCGTTAAGTTTCTGATCATGAACTATTTTATCAGAAATAAGAACAGTGAGATCATCTTGATGAACTTCAACACTTTCGTGATTACTCACCACATTATTCATCACTTTCTGAAATGTAGCTGGAGAACAACTTGAAGCAAATGGAAGTGATGTGTATTTGAACAGGCCAAAACTAGTGTTGTCGTGAAAATAGATCGAGATTGATCAGAATAAATTTAAGGATAAGAATCATTTAAGTGAGCACTTTCGAATCATGAAGTTGATTCAGACTATCTTCAGTTTCCACCGTCCTGCATGTCTGCTTCAACAAACTGGAGTTCAATTTTAATATATAATCAATACATAGTCTAGGTGTCTTGCCATCAGAATTCGATGAATACCAATACCTCTTCTGCACTTGGCACACACAACTATCAAATATTTAGGCAAAGCATCAGGATCTTGTTTAGCAAATAAAACTCAACTCGTCATGAAATGAGCAAGGAAAACTTTGTAATCGGTGCTCAGTAAGAGAAGAACTGAAATTATTTGAATGAATAGTGTTATACTAAATGTCGCTAGCATAACTGTGTTTTTTACGTTGTTGTTTGTTTGACCTCCGATATACTTTGTTTCACTTGGCTTTAGATTTTGTAGTTCAACAGCTTTGCTCCACAAACCTAAAAATTAAAGATTTGTTGTATAACTGTTATATTTATTATTCGAACAATATATTTTTGTCGGTTACTTATAATACGCTCATAAACTTTCATACCTGAACCGGACTTGGTTTTTTTGTTATTTAGGTCATAGTATACGAGTGGGTCGATCGACCGTGCGCCAATAATAGACCAGAGAGAAACTTGGCTATAACATTTTTGACTATGGAAAATACTTTCCATAAAGTACATGATAATTAGGAGCACCGAGCCTAACAAAAACACAAACTACAGGGTTCATCATCACTAGTAGCAAAATGAACAGTAGTTTAACAAACAGACTTGATGGGTCTTGCTTTAGCACCTTTGAAGCGTATGGCATGACGATAAGCACATGGATTACTTGAGAGACGTTTACAATATGATAAATAATCACTGAATTTCTGCTCACCTTTGTTTAGCGCTTTGCAGTTTATCAATGAATTGTTTGTTATGTTCTCACGAAAATGAAGATCATCTTTAATTACCCGTTCACCACTGTGGCCTTGTGTACGAACTGGATTAGGAAAATTATATAATGTGGCGAAAGTATTGATGCTTCATAATTAATATGTGCAGTTCTATCATCTAAAATAGGACGCTTCGGTATTTGTATAGACTGGCTTTGCGAATCCGGTAAGTTAAACCCTGCATCGATCAAGCACCTGCACATGAAGTTGTTCACGAAGATAACACTCGAAGGCTTGTTTCTTCATTTCGACGATAAGTTATCTAACCTCCTGGATATTCTAACGGAACGCTCTACAAAATCTTGTTTTTTTGCAACATTCAAAGTTTGTACACTTTACATGACTTATAAGTAATTCTTTGTGAGTTTTGTAGGAAGGTGAAATAAGCTTATCTGGAAATGTCAGTGTTTAATGGGCTTTATAAATGTAAGTAAATAAGCCAAAATTTTATCATCCTTAACATCTTTCCTGGTCACACTCCAGATTTTGAGCCTTTCCATGTTATGTTCGAAAGCTTCGGAATTTGAATGTATATCCAAGTGCTCAGTTCAAGGTTTCATCACGACACCAATGTGATAATTACGAGTGTTCAAATCATTGTATTACCTAGCGATGCCCGGAACAGTGAAAATTTAGGCAGGTAGAACTAGATGCGCAAAAATGAGAGTATTGTATTTAGAATTCGTAATCAGCGAGAATCAAGTACAAATAAATCATTAGTTCGAACAAATAGCATACATATCCACAAATAATGAACGATACGATACTTTGTCTTCACGACATTTTGAATCGCTATTACGGTGTTATTTTATCGTACATAGAATTATAGAACATGAATGCATGTGAATTGTTTGTACGCTCACTAGTCTGCTCATAATCGCATGTTATAACTACCCATTTTCTCCGCATTTTAACGATATTCATCTACTTTGTTTACTTAAGTATGAAACCCGTATATTACACTCGCCCATCACATGGCACTATACTCTATACTTTTTGTTAACGTTAGCCGTATACCACTCCTCTTTTATTCTCAAAAACATCTTTTCAAATTAATGTGACATTTTCTACATGGGGTATTTCTAGGGGCTGGTACTATATCATGTACATAAAGGCTATTTCGGCTTCTGTTCCAACCAGTTCATTCGTTCTTCTCAAGCCACATTTTGAACTTGTAACTTATTTGCCTACCAACCCTGATTACTTTTATATGACTGTATGTGTGTTAATTATTTATCCTACTCATTACGTGTCCGTAAGTTATTTTGGGTCTGACTAGAAATATTGAAAGACAATTGATTAAATCAAACAGACTCACTTGTCCTCTTCATTTTGCGTCATTTCTTTTCGTTCTTTCCACTTATCGTTGTTCCCTCGATTGTCAGTTGAAATCAATGAGTATACATTATATACGTACCCAAACTTCATTTCCGTTATTCGCTAATGCGATTTACGTCAATAAGTATTTACGAGGATTGACGGAATGTATAAATCGATAGCAACCATCATCGTCTGATCCAACTGGTCAAATATAGGGCTGCTAAAATGTGGACAGTTCTTCAACATGCTACTAGCATACCGAATACAGGTTTTAATTGATAATTGTTCAAGTTAGTAGGTTGGACATTTCTTTTTTTGCGTCGATGTCCACATCTGTGGTGTATATAAGACAACCGTGTTTATCTGCTAACTCTATCGCCAAAGCACTGCGGAAGGCGTTCTAGTACAAGATTGAAGTTCAAATGTTACTACAGGGTTCTCTGCAGTTTCAAAATGTTTGCTGGGTACGTTGCGGTGCCAAAACCAATCATAATTTCGTTTCAATATTGTCCGGAAGTCAGTGGAGCACGTTAAGGTGCTCCTGAGATCGACAGGTCGTGCATTGTGGCATATCTTTTCAGGGACAGACTATATCTAATGTACAAGGATTTCAGTGATATGCAAAACTGGATATGCGGCAAAAGCTATCCCACCAACTACGTCATTTTGCAATGATATATGGACAATGTAAAGATTAAGATTCTAATATTTGACTTGGATGCAGAAGACCAACGGTCCAAAGTTTGTTCAATTAGGAAGAACCAAGTGTTTTTGTATAGTATAGAAAGTACTTTTGAGACATATTGAAATATGTCGTGGTACAAACTTTCTGCTTAAGTTAGTTGATTCTAACTTTACAAACAAGACGAATTTAGCAAAAATACCTGTTCAGCTTCTATTACAGTCAAAAGCTTCTCTAGCAAAACACAGTATACTAAACCCTAAGAGGAGTGATTAACAAAATGGGACTAACTGTTGAGCTACGAGTTATTGTTTCCATCAGTTAGTCAGAGGGTGATAAAAACGTTTATTCTTTTGTAAAAATTTGTCACAGGTCATTTTTTGGAATAGTTCGTTGAACATTTGTTGATCAGTTAGATATCTCTCTCAGAACAATTATTTAATAGATTCTATAAATTGAGGATATCATTACCAAAAGAATTAAATTTAGTTTACTTTGTAGACTCCTAAGGTAATGAAGTTACAGAGAATTGACTATGTGAGTCCGCTAGGGCTTAACTTGAGAAGCCAGCCCTAGCACAGCTGAAACATGATTCGGTATAATAAAGTTAAGAAGATATGAGTTGTGGGAAAACTTGCAATACAGAATCGACTTACTCCTTACATCATCATGGAATTTTAATATCAAGTAAGCAACTGTATTTTGATGACAGGATTAGAACTTAATATTAACGGAGTAATTTACAACTTAGTGGTTGGATCTAAATATTTCTATTGAAAAAAAAATCCAGAAGAAAACTATGATTACAATCAATACCCAACAAATGTCAGAAAACTACAAAATACAAAGTAGGCATCATGAAAAAAAAATGAAATCACATACAAGAACTGAGGGAAATTGAAAACAGGAATGATTATCAGTAGTAATGTTGATGGTTAGAAATGAAAAAGTTAAATAGTTGAATAAAATAGATATACTTCGAAAATAAAAACCGGCGAAATTATAATTATTTTTAAAACAGTAATAGTGCAAAAATTAAGCCACAATCTCGTGTATTAATCCCAATCGAAAGGATTTAATGATCGTGGCTTAGAAACATTTTGTTGTCGTTGCTGTTCACCGGTCAGAGATTCATTGAAACCCACATCCACAGACTCATGATGTTCAGATCTATGACTAAATGAATGAGATGTTACATTTTCATTACCATCACCCTCATCATCATTAAAATTGACAGAATCACTGGTCTCATCAAATGGATTTAATGGTTTATGTACAGATAAGTTAGATTGAGCTGGATTAGTAGATGAGAAATAACCAACAGACATAGATGATTCCAATTCAAAAGGGTTGGTTGATGAACTGTGATAATCACTAGCAGTATAGGGAGTTTTAGCATTTGTCGAAGTCAAAGTAGTCTGATTCGACAAAGAATTTCTAGGTAATGTTGGAGACCTAGTAATAAAATAATCAAATATTTGTACAAAAACGTGTTTAGTGTAAAAAAAAATACAGAGATAATTTGAATACTGTGACATTGATTCACTCGGATTAATAGATATAGAAATTCAATCTGGAATCTATTAGCTGAAAATTCACAGTAATAAATTAAAGCAATTTTTGTTTGAGTTATTATGTAGTATAAATAAGGTTTATATAAGCTTGGCCCCCAATTAATCAAAACAAAATTCACTAACGACCTAAATGAACTGAGTAAAACTGTTTTTCTAAGATTGAATCATCTAAGCAGCATAGTACATTCATTCCTTTTTGTTATGATAATTACTGTTTAGAAAACAAAAAATGAGTATTGAACATATACCATCAGTTTCATTATGATGTGTTCACTACTCAGTTTTATGGACTAATATTTGTTTTTACCATTAAAAATAAATTATTTCTGGAGAAATTTAGGGAAATTCCCTTGTTTCTCTAGAAGAGTAAACTTAAGTGATTTTTATTATGACCTAAATGATTCACGGAATTAGGCAGCTTCATTTGTTTTACTAAACGGTTATGTAATGTAGATCTTTAAAAAAGGAAGATTAAAATAAAATAGGGGTCTTTTATATCAATGGTATATGTAACATTTAAAATTTATTAACTGACGATTAATGTAATTGAAGTTGTAGTGGTCAGAATAAAAAATATTGAATAGTAAAAAGTTAGGTGTTCATTTTTGTCTATCTCTAGTACTTAAAGTGGTGACTTTGTAAAGTGACTTGAAAATACTTATTTTCCAAATAAATACGATGTATGTTCAAATCCTGCTGCATCTGATTGTAGTCTAAACATACAACTAATTAGCTAACTCTCTCACAAGAAATATAAATCGAAACATAATCCATTCAATATGTGTATAGTTATTTAGTTGAATTCAATCACATTTATTAAATAATATCCATTAGAAGTCGATAGCAATATAGTAGAAGAATAATATACATGACGAATTTATTCGAAGAGTTGCTTTGAAAATGAAAAGTGAGTCAAATAAACAATAAAAAGAGGGAAATTTCAAGATTAGTTCATTTAGTTATCAGAATCTGACTACATCTACTGATTATTAAGTACTTCGCAATTCTTTAACTAATGGTTGGACTACAAACGAAAATTTTTTAAAGGGATGCTATAATAGTATTCTAATATAGATGAATCCATAACTTATAAATAGGAAATTATGTAACCAAGTATGTTGTGAATTGTCTGAAAGCTGTAAACAAATTTTATCGATTAGTTTTAATAATTGTTTTCCTCTCAATGAATAAAAAGTTTATAACATTGACAGTAATCTAAAACCAAAACGTCAAGTTGAAAATACTTCCATAGTTCTGAAGAAAATTTTATTTTTGGACACTGGATTTAGGAGAGAAACGGAAGCTGAAATACTAAAGAACGGTCCATCTCGATCACAGAGATCTAAACTGTTTTTACCAACAAGCCACTCATTCAACAAAATGTAAAAAATAACCTGCCGCTTTGGACTACTTTAATGTTCATTTATCAGTTTACTTGCTATTATGGAGCAGGTTATATTGTACTTGTAAAGCATGCACTTGGTAAACGAATATCCGAGCACTACACTACATGGGTATCCAGAGGGGAATAGAAGTCGATCAACAACTCAATCCTTGAACATACAGTCAACTTAGGTCACACCAAGTGAATCGTCATCCAAAATCCTCTCAAAGTGAAAAGAACGGATCGATAAAAGGTTTGGATGAGGAATTTGTGCACAGCTGAGGCTACGGGCAATTCACCATTTTAAACCCTACCTCTGTATATGGAAGAGTCATGTTCAATACGTTATTCTCCCATGGCCTAGCCTATTTAACCATCCGTTTGAATTTTACAAATTATAATTGATAAGTATTACCTTCTTCTTAGCTTATTTTACAAAGCATAGTTATACTTAACTTGCAGATTGTTGCCTTTTATAACTTCTAAAACTATAACATAACGTAAGCTCTGGATGACTTGTGATTACTTTGCTAAATGACGTAACCAATTTTTATTCAATGTTTGAGAACTTTAATGACATTAAGATGACACCCATTCTTAAATTATTATATTCAATACTTGAAATTTTTGATAATCTTGACTAAATTATGAAACATCACTTCATTTTGATTAACTTCCATTTGAACAAGTTTGACTATCATTGATAACTTTGTAACACTCCTCTATTTCACCATAGACAAATATGTGAAGAAAGTACCTATAAAAATATTTCAATTCACTTACTTATAAGAAGTTGAAACTTTCAATGATCCAATGGATTGTTTATCTACAGACATGACATCATCATGATTAGCATTTTTTAGATTTTGACTACCGATTGATTTACTTTGATTAGTTAATAGCCCAGAACTCTGAGCTAAAACATTAGATAGAGCTTTACTTAAAAGTGGAGAATGAATTGATGATGAATTGAAATCGGTCACCAAAGTTGTAGTGGAAATGTTATTTGCAAAAGAAGGTATATTACGAGATTCTTTAGTAGTAGGTAGTTCTTTCGCTAGATCTAATGCAGTTTTCAGTTGAATTAATAACTGATCAGGTGATTCTTTAACATTCCCAGATATTGATTTATTAATTGGCAAGGTATTATTGATTTCGGCCAACAATTTCCTAAACGAAGGATTGATAAGAATTACAATTTTAATTATTAAGCCATATATAGAATTCATTATTCAAAACTTTTGTTATCCGTACCATTTGATTTAAAGTCTATTTCAGTAAATGAAAACCAAGTCGAGTAAACTGGGAGTCGGAAAATTTGATTACTGATTTACCAAAACAAAACAATCTAGCTTGATTTTATTAACAGTTAATTGTTAGATTTGAAATTGAAATAAAATATATTATGAGTAGTAATGAAAGTGTTATTCAGTGAGTACACGCCAAGTACCTAAACTTTGTTCCTGTATTTTCACGTCTACTGATAAACGTTTGCAGATAAAAATTGTCATGAAGAGAACTGTTAAGACATAAAGTGTGCGGTTAAGTCAAGAAAAACCCTATTTTCTGTAACTTTAAAGGTGATTAAATATCCGGTAAGATTGACTTCAAACTAAAAGGATTCATTGAAAAGAATATATCGACCCAATAAACTGGTTTTACTATATTGAACGAATCGCTCGTTTGAGAGGGTTAAATTTTCAACAATGTGAATACTTGCCATCTACAGAATAGTAGGTCCAACATCAATATTTCAAAATCCTTCAGAATAATCTATAAAAACAATGATTCTGAATTTGTTACGTTATCCTGAAGCCACTGCTATCAAACGGCTTACACCAAATCCGGGCATTCAAAAGGTTATTGTTTCTAATTTTAGGCTGACTTGGTGACGTTAATTTCCAACATTTAGTTGCATAATATATCACTTTCTCCTGTTAGTTGTACTCTTTCTGTCCACTTTTGTTCCTTATCTGAGATTTACTGAACTAACTCTTAATAAATCCATTATGAGCAAATACTATCAAGTAAATTTTGATAACAATTTCCCATGTTTAGTGAGACGTCTGACTTTATGAATGTTAAACTTTCCCTTAGTATATTCACACTAATTAACATTATTCATTTACTTTTTAACAAACTTCATCGATAAAGACCTTTTTGTAATCAGAATAAGATTATCTCACAGAGCCAAACCATGAAGTCTGTACCTACAGCCATGATCTAACCGAATAGTAAAGGACTCCATGAACGATGTTACTTACTTACTTACGCCTGTTACTGCTCGTGAATGAGCATAAGCCGCTCACCAGCGTTCTCCATCCAACCCTGTCCTGGGCAATCCTTTCTAGCTCCGTCCAGTTGTAATTCATCGTTTTCATATCTGCTTCTATTATCCGACGCAATGTGTTCTTCGGCCTTCCTCTTTTTCGCTTCCCTTCAGGATTCCAAGTTAGGGCTTGCCTCGTGATGCAGTTTGACGATTTGCGTAATGTATATCCTATCCATTTCCATCGTCTTTTCCTAATTTCTTCTTCAGCTGGAAGTTGGTTTGTTCTCTCCCACAGAATGCTGTTGCTGATGGTATCCGGCCAATGGATGTTGAGTATCTTGCGAAGACAGCTATTTATAAATACTTGTACTTTCTTGATTGTGGTTGTTGTAGTTCTCCAAGTTTCAGCTCCATACAGTAGAACTGCCTTGACGTTCGTATTGAAGATTCTCACTTTGATATTGGTTGAAAGTTGTTTTGAGTTCCATATGTTCTTCAATTGTAGGAATGCGACCCTTGCTTTGCCGATCCTCGCCTTTACGTCTGCATCTGAGCCTCCTTGTTCATCGATGATGCTTCCCAGATATGTGAAGGATTCTACATCTTCCAGAGTTTCGCCATCAAGAGTGATTGGATTGCTGTTTTCCGCTTTGAATTTGAGGACCTTAGTTTTCCCTTTGTGTATGCTGAGGCCTACTGATACAGAGACTGCTGCTACACTGGCTGTCTTCATCTGCATCTGTTCGTGTGTACGTGATAGGAGGGCTAGGTCATCTGCGAAGTCCAAATCGTCTAATTGATTCTGAGCTGTCCATTGTATTCCGTGTTTTCCTTCAGATGTTGAGGTCTTCATAATCCAGTCGACCACCAGAAGAAAGAGGAAGGGAGAGAGTAAACAGCCTTGTCTGACTCCGGTCCTTACTTGGAATGCATCTGTCAGCTGTCCTCCATGCACTACTTTGCACTGTAGTCCGTCGTATGAGTTCCGGATTATATTGACAATCTTCTCAGGAATTCCGTAGTGTCGAAGAAGTTTCCATAACGTCCTCCTGTCTACACTGTCGAATGCCTTTTCATAATCAATGAAGTTGATGTATAGTGATGAGTTCCACTCAACTGATTGTTCGACGATGATCCGTAGTGTTGCAATTTGGTCTGTGCACGACCGATCCTTACGGAATCCAGCTTGTTGATCTCGAAGTTGGGCGTCTACTGCATCCTTCATCCGGTTCAGCAACAATCTGTTGAAGACTTTCCCTGGTATTGACAGTAGTGTTATGCCTCTGTAGTCTTCACATTTGCTCAGATCTCCTTTCTTTGGGATCTTGACGAGGTGTCCTTCTTTCCAGTACATCGGCACTTGTTCCTCCTCCCAAATCTTTTTGAATAGAAGATAAAGCATGCTTGTGGTTGCTTCGATGTCTGATTTCAGTGCTTCAGCTGGTATGTTGTCGGGTCCTGCTGCTTTCCCGTTCTTGATTTGTCTGACGGCCATTCTAATTTCTTCCGTAGTTGGTGGATTGACATCTATAGAAAGATCTATGTGTGCTGTCCGGTGGATTCATTGGAGCCGGCCTATTCAGGAGTTCCTCGAAGTATTCTACCCATCTGTTACGTTGTTGTTGAATTTCGGTGATTGGCTTGCCTTCTTTGTCTTTGACCGGCCTCTCTGGTTTACTGTATTTCCCTGGTAGTTTCTTCGTTGTATCGTAAAGCTGTTTCATATTTCCTTCTCTATCAGCTTTTTCTGCCATCGTTGCTAGTTCTTCCACGTATTTCTTCTTGTCGGCTCTAATGCTCCTCTTCACTTGTTTGTTTGCTTCTATGTACTCGGTTTGTGCTTGGACTTTCTCTGCTCTTGTTCGGCTGTTGTTAACTGCGGCCTTCTTGTTCTTCCTTTCTTTGATCTTGTCCAGTGTTTCTATAGAGATCCATTCCTTATGATGGTATTTCTTTAGACCGAGAACCTCTTGACACGTTGAAGTTAATGCTTCCTTGATGCCTTTCCAGTTGTCCTCCATAGAAGTTTCTTCTTCTTTCAGTAGATCTCGTAAGGCTTGGAACCTGTTGTTGAGAGCTATCTTGAATTCATTGAGTTTGACAGTATCTCGAAGGAAGGCTGTATTGAACCTTTGTATTGCTGTTTGTCCACCTGTCCAGTTCTTTTTTAGCTTCAGTTTCAAATTGGCTACAACTAGGTGGTGATCTGAAGCTACGCCAGCTCCTCTCCTGGTTCTCACATCTTCAATTGTCCTTCGGAATTTTTTGTTGATGCAAATATGATCTATTTGGTTCTCTGTAGTGTGGTCCGGTGAGATCCATGTAGCCTTGTGTATACGCTTGTGTGGAAATATTGTGCCTCCTATGACCAATTTGTTGAATGCACATAGATTTGCAAATCTTTCTCCATTTTCGTTTCTTTCTCCCAGTCCATGTCGTCCCATAATATCTTCATATCCAGTGTTGTCTATTCCGACTTTGGCGTTTAGATCTCCCATTAGAATGGTGAGGTCCTTTCTTGGGCATTTCTCTATCACTGACTGCAGCCGCTCGTAGAATTGATCTTTAATGTCGTCGTTGCTATCATTAGTGGGTGCATAACATTGGATAATATTCATTAAGATCCCCTCCTTCTTTGTTTTGAATGATGCTTTGATGATTCTGGATCCGTGAGATTCCCATCCTACAAGTGCATTTCGTGCTACTTTGGACAGCATAAGAGCGACTCCCTGAGTGTGTGGAGCATTGTCCTCTTCGTGACCGGAGTATAGCAGCATCTCTCCCGTAGCTAGCCTTTTCTGTCCAGCTTGGGTCCAGTGGGTTTCGCTGATTCCCAGTACTGCTAAGTTGTATCTCCTCATTTCCATTGATATTTGACTGGTCTTCCGGGTTTCCCACATTGTTCGAACGTTCCATGTACCTATAAAAATTTTTGCTCTGGTTGTTAGAAGGGGCATCGGCCTCGTGGCTTCCGAAGGAACTCGGCTTTCACCATGAAGCGTCATAATTCTTCTAAATGAAGACCTTCTAACTCCCAGGGCAGAGTTAAAATGGTTTGGATTATTTTTTCTGGTAAGCGTTTTTTTAGCGAGTTAGTTTTCTACGGGATGGGGACGCTAACCCCATGCCCAACCCTCCTCCTTTACCCGGGCTTGGGACCGGCAGCAACCCTATAAGAGCTACAGGCGGAGTTCCATGAACGATGTCCTAACTACTTAATTCGACTGTACATCGTGAATTTTATCCAATCAAGTTTTAGACAGTTGGTCAAAATAAATGAACTATAGTAATTAAAGATATCATAATTGAATTATTAATATTAATGAAATAAACAATAAATATTAAACAATCTACAATGATTCAAGTAACTAATTTTCTTAATAGTACATTACGAAAAAACGATTTTGTATAGTATGAGAAGTAGTTATACACCTATAACAGCAGCATTGATATACAAATCTAACTGGGTATAGCAGTGATAGGATGATAAAACAACCACTTTACTTTCGTGAAAGTAAGTTTTCTAACGGTGTAGATGAACCCGACCTGGTAAACTTAAACAGATTATGAAACCACAAACGGATGCAGAAAAACAGATGACATTCCGAAAGATATTTAAAGCTTAAGATAAAAAAGCAAAGATGATAGGATTTTAGTTCGGATAATCAAAGGAATTCCGCGATAAAAATTTATCGAGTCAAACTGAAAATGGTAGCTAAAACGTTAATGAGATATCTGTTCTGTCTTCATTTACAGGATTCATTTGATGAAATGTAGAATGAACTATTTCGTGCAAACTATAAACACCATGAACAGAGACTAAAGACCATAGAATAATTGAAAGAATTTAAAAGTTAGAATTTTCAGGATATGAAAACAACTGCTCATCTATTTTTACCTAGCGAATGGAAAGTCTACAAGGGGAACAGTAATAAAAAATTGAGAAAAAGTTGAAGCTGTGATACATATTGTAAAATTATGTAACTACGATTGATCGATAGAGAGATATCAACAACATAAAGCCCGGAACACAAAGCGTTAGCCACATCTATTGTATGATAGTAATATTGAATATATTAGAAAATAAGCTGAAACTGATGATCAGCAACATAGAATTAAACCAATTTAAGCAAACTGTGTTTTTTTTAAAGAAAACATTCGGTGATGGTTTTCGTGGACAGTCTATTTAAAAATGATAGTAATGCCGATAAAATAAACGCCAGTAAACAGCAATCAATACAAAAGTGTAAGGAAAAAATCTGATTATCATAACTATAAAATAACTTACTTATTTTGAGGTGCACATTGAGGGCATTGTTGATCACCATAAGCATAGTTGTCAAAGCATCTATTAATCAATAATTTATAGGCAGAAAAAATGCATAAAAAGTAACATTGATGTTTTTCCACGAGTAGGGAAAATATGTAAAAAAAACTGTTTAGCACACTACGAAACGGTGTGATAAACATCCAGTATTTCATGAATTTCTACATTTATTTTATTGAATCTTACTGAAAGAATGAACTCAGGTTATCTAGTCTTTTTGTCCATAAATAATAGTTCTTGGTTGTAAGTATAACCACAATAACATTTTTTTCTATTTCATATATCCACCATGACCTTGGTTGCTATTCAACCGATTATTTTTACTTTTAGTTTGCTAATTTTGTTATTATTTCATTAGCCAAATTGTATTCATGAATACTAAAATTCTTTTGAATTTCTAATTTTTCTCTGTATCCTATGGCATTTTGAGGATTTGCTTTCAAAATGTTGTGTATCGATTACCCGATTTATCGAGTTCACATTAGATTCTATTCATATTAGAAGAGTCTCAATCGTAAAACTTAACCAAGGCAATTTATTAAATAAAATTACCACGACTCAGTTTTAATTTGCTTTCATATATCAAATACAATTTATACATGTGTGATTCTTGAGAGACTTAGATTTTTACATTTCTAAATCACCAACAAGATGAAAAACAACCTAACAAGAAAAATGTGAATGAATATTATCTATAGAAAAAATTAATTAGTCTTTATATACCAAGGTTCTATTTTACATTGGGAAAAATTTAAAAAGAGGTTAGCAAATACTTCAATAATATAACAGTTTATTAATTTCGACAATACAAAACCATGACAGTTATTTTTCTAGCAATCGTGATAAAAACTAAATTTTCATAGTCAGATAATGAATATCATATGAATGTATATAGTACAAAATTATAAGAACTGTTGTCGAATCTGTAAATGAGTAGTTTCACCACAGCCTTTTCCATGTTTAACACTATAGATACCAAGTATAATGAAGAAGATATATATATGAATTTCTCAAAAAAAGTATTATTTTCCAGTAAGACATTTAATCTTTACTTTAAAATGGTTTGGATTATCACGTTGTTGATATTTTGACGGAATTTTGATCAGTTTTAGTTGGTATTTGGTCATCCCGGAGAGATTGTCTCGATAAATCCATTATGTTAAAGTTTATATGGAATAGATAAAATGTGATTAGCGGTGAAATCCAGTTTGCGTACTTCGTCCTATTTGAGAGTCATCGGCTGAGCGTACCCAGAAGTATATTCCATTTATTCAACACTTAATCTTTCTAATTATCTTGAGAAATAAGTTTTAACCAATGTACAATGACTATCACTATGTCAGTAGAGAGACGGGAATGTAAACAGGCAATATAGCGGAACGAAAGTGGAGAAACCGTTTATTATTAATTAAACAAAAGTCTATAGAATCTGATAATTTGATGGCCTTAACTAAGCCAAGAGAATGATACTATTTAGTCAAATGCACAACTTATTTTGATTGTTAGTATAAGTAATTGCACAACATGATCTGTTTTTGCTAAGTGATTAGGGGCAATCAGTATGAATCCCTTGACCTAAATTTCATGGTAGTTGGTACTTGCCAACGAGGCGTATCTACAGTCTTCTAAGAAATAGGACTAAAATCTATATCGTGTAAGATCAGTAAGATACGTTGCCACCGAAACATTTGGGTTATTACTGACTACCAATACTACTGAGATTTCCACGTTAATTGATGATTAAATAATAACTAGTACCATGATTGTCAAATTTCTTCACAATGGTTAAGGTTTATTGATGATTAATGTAATAATTTTATCACTTTTCGAGAGAACACAGATTATACAAGGAAACAGTAAAATTTAAACATTTCACCTACGCCCTATGATAAGAATGGTCACATAAAAAATGGATTGATGGAGGGTCCAGACTTTGATGACACAGCTGACACTTTTGTTGTTGGAATATTTTCACTCTAGAACGCGAAAACATATAAACAAATTAGTGGTAGGAAAAGAGATGAAAAACGGTAATTAACAATATGCTTTTGGAGAGAAATAATGAAAATCTTATCATGGAAATACCAGAATTATTCTATAGATGAAATCTCTAAAAAAGCAACGTATCGTTGCTTGCCTAATCACTGCCTACTTCGACAAGCGTTGTTTACTGGTGTAGAAGTAAGCTGGAAGAAAGCAAGGAGCGGCTAAACCAGTCCATGAAATTAGTGACGATTGAATTGAACCATGTCTCTATGTACAAACTACCTGGGGGAGGTCAGAGCTATTATTATTAGGTGAAATGGCTAAGGAATGATCACAATTGGACAGATACAACCACTCTTTATCTTCTCTTAAACCTTGGGTTCTAAAATTATTTTATACCTTTCAATCGGCGAATTCATGCTTCTCAACTCCTATCGTATGTGTCTAACCTTTTCCATTACCACAAATACTGTTAATGCCTCTGCCACTCCGAAATGTGTGTTGATAACTTCATCCAACTGTGTTGGTAGATGCAGACTACTTGGTTGGGGTCCGCGCGACTATTGTAACTAATGGTTGGAGACTTTGGGTGATATGGATCAGAATTGCTCACAATGGCGTGTGTACACTCATTGTCTTCCTTTAAACTGTGAGATTAAAATTACTTTATTCCTTTCTTTCTAAGAACTAATTCTTTCTTCTTGTATTATATCCTTATATACAATCTTCCTTTTATATGTTGCCACTGCTAAAGTAAGCACTTCTACGAATTCGGTGTTTATCTTGTTGTGCTAATGAGGTGTAGCAACTTGGACCGATACATATATGTGCCTGGTTCTACGTTGTAGCTGACTGACTGAAGAGGGCCAAGAAAAATTAAAATATGTTTAAACTCAATCAACCAAACAGTCAAGTATCAATACAGAAGAGTCGCAACGTCATAATCATTGGTTGGAAATAAACATTAACAGCGTTGGATGCCGACTCAGTGATCTAGAGGTTAAGCGTTCATACGTGGAACCGAGGGTCCTGAGGTTCGAATCCCTTGAGGGATCGTGGATACGCACTGCTGAGGAGTCCCACAGCAAGATGAAACAGCCTCTCACTGCTTCTGGGTTTTCAATGGTGGTTTAACATTGGTCGGTTCATGATTTGGATTATTAATCATGAAAATTTGACGAATACAAAAAAACTTACTGATTGTTTAATTTACGTACTACTTCACGATTATGCATTGTTTCCTTACGGAGACGATCCACTTCATTTTTCATACTGTTAATTCGATTACTGCCAGCTTCTAAGTGGCGTAGAAGATAATCCTATGAAACAGAATAAGCATCGTAAGAAATCAGAAGATTATTTGAGAAAGAAAATCAATATAAATATCCGGTAAGCACAAAAAGTGAAGATCCATTTACGAAATATACATAGATACATATATTATCAGTAGCCTTACGTGTAACATTGTGAAATCAGAAGTAATGTATACAAGTGATTACTCAAATGCTAATGCTACAGATGATGAATATTCGGAGAGGAGAAACCCTCACTTAAGATAGCACTCTTTGGAAGTGTTATATACATATATATATACAAAATGATAATAGATACTGGTTTTAAAGATGATCATAACTTACACGTATCGTTCCAACATTACAACAATTTTCATGATCACTATCACACAATAACTGTAGGACAACAAGTGGTGATGCCAGATTTAAACGGTCCACTTCTGCATAAATTTTCAAAAGAATAGGAAGTAAAATGTGAAGTGAAACATAACAATCAGTTAAAAATAGACAACTAAGAAGTTTACAATCAATAAATATCTTAATTGATTAGTATTATAAATAAAATTATTTTCATTGAGTATCTACACACACGTAACAAAATTTATTATGAGAAATATTCATATTTGGATTCACGAGTCGATCTAAACTAGACCATCATTGAAAACTTGGAAGCACTGAAAGGCTGTTTCGTCCTAGTATGGAACACCCTAGAAGTATTCATCCAAGATCACGCACACGGGATTGAAATCCAGGACCCCCGATCTCGAGCGCAAACTCTCAACCTATAGACCACCGAACCGACATCCATCGGTGTTAATGTTTAACTCCAATCGATCCATGATCTTGCGCAACCCTTCATCTATTGTCTGAGGTGGATAACTGTCTCACACCCGACACGGATTCACCTCCACTGATCGACTGTGAAAATACTACAATCTCCGCAAATCATCATACAGAAAATACTCATATATCAATAGACTAATTAAAGTCAAAACTTAGTATATTGGAAAGTAATCATTGAGAGATATTGTCAAAAGATAATTTACAATATATAGAGATTCACCTTCACTGTTTATTTTTCTTTAAGGATTTAATGTCAGTTGCTTAGCCATCAACTAGTAATAGAAAATTTCAAGTAAGTAATTGTAAGATATCAATAAATAACTTCAAAATTTCCCATAGGAAGACTAGAACGTGTGTTTAGTCAATTCGTGTCTAGAATAAAGATTTAAAATGCTTAAATGTCATTCGAACAAACTAGATTAAGAGTTGAGAAAGTTAATCATGGACGTGAAGGTAACAAGATCGAAATTATTTTTCATTCAAAGTTTAGTCCACAGATAAAGCAAGTTTTAAAGTAGTATTTTTGTAGCGAGAATAATAGCCACATCCAACTGATTAGTTACTCTCTACAGGCTAGTTCTAAAGTGATTTAGGTACTTACCAGCAAAATTTGATGATACTTAACAGTTTATTTTATCTACAGATTAAATGATACATTTTATTCATTATAAGATTGTTCTTCTTACAGTTTTCATATCTGTTATGAACAAACATGTTTCGGATGATAAAATGTTTTAACAGTCATCACTAAACATTCGTAGGAAGTTTATTTATATTTAACCACTCGGAAGTATTTTAACAAAGCTACGAAAACTAATCTTTGGTATAGTTTCATCGAGATCGTGAAACCATCTACATTAGACCACCACTGAAAACCTGGAAGCACCGGACAACCGTTTTGTCCTAGTACGAGACTCTTCAGCAATGGTCGTCAATGATCCGTACAGTTCATATAGTTCTTGATAGAATTCTCAATAAAGATGAATAGCTTGACTAAAATAAACCATATTTTTAAGTATAATGAATATAGAGTGATAAGAGTGAAGTTGAAAATGTTATTATTGATTAAATAAATAGATAAAAATAGAACTTACGATCTATGACTCGTTTAAGAATATCTGAATGTTCGGGTTTGTGTGCGTAATTAATCAAAGCAGTAAGCCATAAATTGGGCATTTGGTTACTAGATAAATAATAAACATGGACAAGTGAATTATCGACAGCGTGAAGAAGACGTAATCACTAAACTAAAGACACAGGTTATTTGATGATGAAAACAGAAGAGTTAGCTACCAATCTATGGTAGAAAGCAAAAGAACATTTTAATAACTGACAAGAAGCATAATATTTCGCATTGTGAAATTGAAGCTCTAGTTACTAGGATAGTATGAGAATAAAATAATTTGTTAGCGAATTGGTTTAGATACCAGACTTTTAAATCACACCCCACTAAAGAGAAGTACCACTAAACACGCTTAGTAAATGTGGCTTAGTCAGAGGCCAAATCAATAAGCGGTTACTCAGTTATAAAACAACGTATGCTTTTTTCACCTTTAAACCTGTAAAACAAATCAGAATAATATTACAAGCAAGAATTAGACCTGAAAATCAGTTTTTAATTGATTGATTTCGCCCAATCGCTAACGTCACCTTATCATGTTATATTTTGTAAATAAGCATTTTATTTCGTTATACAGCAAAACCTATCCTTCTAGCCAGTGGTCTGATTTGAAATTACTTAAGGGCTTGGGTCAACAATACAGTCTCTTGGGCAGCCATTATTCGGTCACAGGACTACTGCATACCATTGGTCGATTAGTATACTACTCATTGACTTGACGATTGGAAACTTATTCATCATTTTTAAAACCCGAATTCATTACATAAAATAACAACGAAAAGTAGGCCAAATGAAGTTACATAAGTAAGAAACGTTAAATTATGTACGCAATGGCAATAAGATTCATCACATTTTTTATTTGTAAGGAGAAAACGATCACAATATTTCACATCATGCTGTGATACTTATGATAACAACTTTTACTTAATATTAATACTTTACACTATCAGTTCGATAAATGTTATGTAACATGAATTAGACGGGGCAATCACCAAATTTGCTCAAGTATTTAAAAATAAGATGCGCTATTAAACAAGAAAATGCAAGAAACAAATATATATATATATATATATATATATATATATATATATATATATATATCGACGTACCCATAATCTTCACATACACTCATTATCTCTTCATTCATATCTTGTGATATGTAATATCGAAGGATTTGATCATATCTAAGTTATAAGTTTAGAACACACTGTCATGTATTCAAATTAAGAAAACTTACAACTTTTGTTTCTCCCATAAATAGATACAACCTTTGTAAAATTGTCGCTGATGGCAAACAACTAAAGCTTTCTTTTCATCGTATTGCAGCTATATTAGGTGATTATAAAAAAAACAATTTAAAACTAATGTAATGCGTAAACAGTATCCAATTAAATACAAATTCTACAAATCGTAACTACAAACTAATTGAAAACAAATAATTCGTCGTTTTATGGTTGAACACTTTATCTGGCCAGGTTAGACGACGGACAGTTAATGATCAAGAAGTCTACTCTCATTTACTTGATTGAAACAACAACTTGACAAGAATAGAGCCTTAAAAATTATCCAGCGTATCCCATAAAATTTTTTGTATGGTCTACAAGTTTTTCGTTTGCATATTGTTGAAGTTATCAGAATCCACATTTAAAAATCTAAATACCATACTCAAAAGTAGTTTGTACAAACCTTCACTCTATCCTAGTCATCCATACAGGCTATACCAAAGTAGGTTATAACTTAATTTTGATTCCTTCAAACTTTTCAGAATTTCTTGCACTTTTGTGTGCTTACATAAAGTTGATATTCGCTTCATTATTTTTACCTAACCACTATTTAATTTCCTTGTTATCAAAGTATTTTGCTGATTCAAATTTTAGAGAGAGGGATGTGATGAAAGACGAATTGAAAAGAAATATTTTTTCACTCTATTAGCCCTTTAGAGGGCAAAAATTTTGCGCCTGTCTAAGACTCGTCAATAAGATTTGAACAACGTATTAAATAGGTCAGACTGAAAGCAATTAAAATTATCCTGTCCCACAAATCGCATATTAGACAAAGATTCAAAACTGAATTCGCATAGATAGACGCTATAATTACTCATGGCGACTGGATAGGAGTCAAAAACTAGTCCATAAATTATGAAAACATAGTGATTTTGCAAGTAAGAAACAGAAGAATGTTTATGAAAGAACACAACCGTCTAAATCATAGTAATAAGTAATATAACTAATGTGTCTTTTTTTCATTAACCTTTTAGGCTCTACATAATTACAATCAAGACTCCCTAAGCTTATTCACCGAAATGAAACGAAAAGATTAACAGAAAAATACTTCGTGACGGCAAGGTATTATTTAGAAAAGGTGTCTGCTTTAAACTAACCTCACTATTCGATAATAATTGCATCGCCATTTGAAATAGTTGAACTGATTCTTCATTGGTCATTGATTTATCAGCTTCCAATCGATTCGCTTCATATAATAATAATTCTAAGAATGTATCCACAACTCCTGCAACCAATTTAGAAGGTGAAGCCGTCTTGAATTTAGGCGAAGAAAGAGAGAAACAGCGAATTAGTATAGAACACATATGAAAAAAAACACAATTGAACCGTAAAGAAAATGTAAAAATCCATAGGCGTTTATGGCATTAATAATAAGGTACATCCACATGACGAGTTGCAAATAGGAACAAACGCGCGCCTAAGATTCCACTACTAAACATAATCCATTTGTTCTATAAAATTCATAGGTGTTTGGTGAGTGGTTGAACGAGAGTATCGTAGACCGGCTGAACAGTATTTATGAGATTCGTGTGAATTGCAACGGTGACCGAGTGTATACTTACATGTCCACACGACTGCCAACGTTTATTCAGAATTACCTGTGGATGTATTTACTAACTAACAATTAGTGTTGTTACAAGGGATTCTTCTCCCTGAAAGATCTATGTTGAATCGGCAAATACACGGGCATTAGTAATTATTTTCTATGATATATTCAATAGTGATAAACAATATTGCATAATTTTGCTTCTGATCGTCCGTATCTTGCTTGTCATTTGTGGGGTGAATAAGTTTAAACTTCACAAATGTCATGTAATTTAGATAAATTTGTTACAGTCGGTAATAAATAACATAGGACCTGGGATATATTTATGCATAGATCCAAGTAGAAACATAGATCACTGTGAAGTGAAAACAATAATGCCGAAATTAACGAAGAAAACTAAAAGTAATAAATAAAGACCATAAATAACAAGTAGAATGGAATATTAGAAAGTAAGAAAATACCATTAAAAATAAAGAAATAAGAGGAAGGTAACGAATAACTATATTTATATGTACACTGGCCAGTGCAACATATTTAGGTAGTCAGTAGGTAAGCAGCGAAATACATAGTACAACCACTTGAATCGATTAACGTAAACAGTCACACCAGTCAATTTACAATCATCTGTACCAAATAATTTAAAATCTAAGTTTACCAATATTCACTTAGTGGTCCTAACATATGCGGACATTGATTCAAGAAGACATTTATGCCCTTCCACCATGAAAACTGGTATTCAGTGTATGTCACCGATCGCTAAATGTCATATTGTATAGCCATAAAAAGGTTACAAAAATAATTTAAGTTGTTTAAATATGGAACTTTAGTAAATGTTATGTTAGGGAACTGGTTATTTAATAATTTGATTGTTAAGAAAACATACAAGTATGTTTTTAAAATGACTGCTTTGGATTAACAGCAACAAGAAATAACGGCAAAAACAATAAAACTTACATTGATGTAACGATCAAGAAACTGCATTAAACCTTTAGGATTGTTGACAAACACTTTCAAGAAGTGTTGTACATTGATTCGACTAGCATCTACAACCAAACAACGAGGAAATAATCATTCATAAGTAAAAACGTACAACGAATAAAATAAATGGTGACTATCACTGAAAAATCCTGATCATATTAAAACACAGATGTATGAATGAAGAATATTCTTTCCAATAAATTATCTTCAGGTTCTATAGTTATATATTAACATTAATAATCCAAAACGTGGTCAGGTTCAAAGCAAATACAAAGGAAAAAAACTGTCCCACTTAACAAAAGAGACTGTGTTGACAAAAGAAATAACATCTTAACCCTTAAGAAAAAAATTAGAGATCAATAGGGAATTCTATCAAACATATACGAAACAATTACACTGGCATGTACCCATTTACCAAGGTTCTACTCACTACCGAAGGTGCACAAACCGGATATCTTATTGAGACCAATTTGCGACATGTACAATTCCCCTTATCATACAGTATCAGAGCTGTTAGTAACCATTTAAAACCACTCCACGAACGCATAGTGAAGCATAGTATTAAGGATGTATTCCAGTTCCTGGACGTAACATCATGGTTTGCAAATGTTCCACTCAGGAAGAGTGCATAATATATCTGTGAATAACTTAGAGAACAAGAAATACACTATAACCCTTATGGGCATGATTGAGGGATTATTACTGAAATGTACTATGAACGTAAACTTTAAATTCGATGGTGAAATATATAGACAAATAAGTGATGTCACGATGGACTCACTAAGTGACCCCATATTGGCTGACATTTTTCTCACTAAACTAAAAAACGGTCCACTAATACAACAGATTGACAAGTTTCCATTTTAATACCGATAGGTTCATCCTTTGTAACGACCATACTGACCCGATAGAAACATTCAAGCGATTAAATGAAGTTGATCCCCCCAAAAAATTCACATGTGAGGAACAAAATAGAGGTAGGAGAGCCTCTCTAGATGTTTTATTTACAAGAAGAGTAGATGGGTTATTGAGAAGAAAATTAAGCAAGTAAACTACTTAGACTGTCTAATATACAAATGTTTTTAGTTTTGATTCTCTACAATATAAAAGGAACCTGATTAGGACACTTTATTAGAGAATAAAGACCATATGCTGCCTAGATGCGGTTGAAAAAGAAACAAAGGCACTGCGTACTACCCTGAGAAAATGGATATTTTGAGTTGTTCATAAGTAAATATTTAGCCAAGAAAAGAGAGCATAAAGCCTAACCGTGAGCAAAAAGCCACTGCCTATGCATCTACAATTTAGAGGCGATACAACCAGCGAAATGCTAGTAATAAAGTTGCACAGGACAATCCAAAGAACCTATAATGTAGGTAAACCACGATTATGTAGGGAGATAAATGTTTATATGAGGTCTTACAATAATTTTGTCCCATCGGCATTGAATTATTATTATTATGCGACTCGTTTTGTATGATTAATTCGACAGTAGTCAATAGCGCAATGACTAGAAAAGCATTATTATGCTTAAGATCAATCAAATTTACAAGGAAAATGTAGATTTTTAACATAAAAGTCCAATTATGAAATACTTCAAGCATTATTTTGTGGATTCCTATAAAATGGTAGGTTGAAATCTTAATGAAAAAACTTATTTTTAAAAAGATACAGACATGTACTGTTAATTTAGTAGCGAAAAGCATGAGACAGAAAACGAACTACACCATAGTATCGTTTTCTGTTACCTAGATTGCCGAAAAGTCTCAATCAAACGCTGAATGTTTGTGTCGGCTACATAACTTCAACGAGAATACTTACAGATATATCTGAAAAATAACCAAAGATACAAGTGGGTAGTTATTAAAACAAGGGAGAAAAAAATCGTAATAACTTGGGAAAATGATGTTATTCAAAAGCAAAAGAAAATATAAATCCTACCCGGATGAGCACATAGTTTGTCCAAAAGCTTAATTGTATCCTCAGGACAACGAGTGATCAACTGATGTCCATATTCACTGATAGATTTCAATGCCTGGAAAGAAACATATAATGAGAAATTACCTTTAAGTATCAATAATAATGTTTAATATGATTTAGAGATTAATGATTGTACATGTAATTCAGTATAATAACGAGATGGTACATGAATTTTTTCTGAAGTGCTGAATAAACGAAGCACTAAAATCAAGATCTCAGTGATCACTAAACTTCTCAATAACAATTACATATAGAAATACTTTGACAGTTAGTTCTAAAATTACTTTAACGGAATATGAGTATGCTTTACTATATTATGTATGAGCCATTTGGGATTTCAGTTGTCAACAGCATCATCATTACAAAACGTTTATGGTCAATAAAATATCACTCTGAGAAAATAACTAGCTGAAATACTATCAATCAGCTGTTTCAGAAATAAATAAGAGGTTTGTATGAACCGATCTAATATCTACTTTTACATTTAGCAACCAACACATTTCGAAGTAGGTATTGACTTCAGATACATAACCGATGGCATGATTACATTTAAGATATATTCCTGATGGACTATTACAGCATTAATGCCTCATTTATCTATTTCTAATTTTTGCGTAATACAATAAAGTATAGTCCATCTGTGAAATTATTGATAAGAGACAAGTTGGTAGTTTAATGACAATGTAGGTGAAATAAGTTTGAAAGCGCTAAGAGTAAACTTTCTGTAACCCTGGCATCCTATTGAATACTAACGAAGTACTCAGAGTACATAGAATGAGATCCGAGCAAATGATCTTGCAAAGAAAGTGCATTGTTCAAGGTCCAATTATGAATAAGTTTTATAACAAAAAAAAGACAAACAAGTGAGCAGATAAAAATAACTGTTAGGACTTTTGGTGGAGATTCATTTAATTTGAAGGTGGTTTTCATGACGAATTAACATCAGTTGAACTGCAACTAAATACCAGGGAACATTAAACAGGAGTTTGTCATAGTACCTCGGGAACGTGCACTTATGTCAAGGGTGGAAACTAGGGCTTTCGGGTCTCAAACAGGTTGCTTAACGCCTAGACCAGTTGAAGTCAAATGATGCACATCTCCAGCTTCAATCAATTAACGATTTTGTGAGACAGTCCTGCGGTTCCATTGGTAAGCTTTTACGAAACCCCTCAGCAATGATATAATCATTTACTCAATAATGACCTGGTTTGAGATGAGTCTTCCCAAATTCTGGTGAGAAGACATCAACGGTCGAACTTAGCCATATAGAAAGTGAGACAGTAGTCATCAATGAAGGTAGATGATCTTGACACTATACTAGTAACTTACTAATATGAACCATTGGACTCTAAATCCACAGTCTTAAAAATAAACTCTCATAGCAAGACCATTAATGCCCTCAGGTTTGGTTCCTAAAATGTGCACTGCAGAAAAGTCCCATACAAAAGTGAAAGATTTTCCGTGCCCCCTGGATTTCAGTGGGATACCAATTCATGTCAGTCTGTGAAGAAAATCATCCATAAGATAAAACACATAATCCAAATCGATAAAAAATAATGAAGACTTTTACCACACAACTTACTTCATCGAAATTCAACCTGTTGATCATTTTAAGTGCTGATTTACCATCATTTAAGTCTTCTATTAAAAGGCCTATACAGTCTATGTATCGGTCAGTATTTTCAGCTAGTTTGACAGCTGCATTAATATATTTTGATTGCTTTAAAACATGCAAAGCTGATGTTATGTCTAACATTGGATTTATAGGAGCCTTTATTTAATTTTGAAAGAAAATAAAATAGTAAATGGAACTAGATTATATCGACGTAATGGGTTAAAAGAAGTGACTTTAGATTAAGAAAAAAAAAAGGACCATCAATAATAACAACTAGTAAATACACTGATGACCTGAGATGTAGAGTTACGTGTAAGCTTCTTGGATGGACTTAATAATGTAACAAAAAACAAAGATAGTATGGTCTCAAATATGTCGTTCTGGAACAAGAAGCAACAATTTGCTTTTACTATTCTGTATCATTTATTCTTGAAACCACTTAGTCTAGTCTTATCATAACACAATAAAACATTTTTGGTAATCGTTTATACTGGATGGAGGTGAAACTACTGACATAGATACTAACCATGTCATATTCACTTATTATGAATATATTCCAAAAGCATAACTGGTTATTCTTAAATTCAGAGACTATTAAAGTATTTGAATTTACGGAGTTAAGTTTCGGAATTAATTAGTTGAGGACAACCACGGTAATATTGTAAAATATTAACTAGTAGAATCCGCAAAGGTTTGCCATTCAAATATACACATAGATAATATCTACTAATATGAGTTCAACGTCATCCACTTGTTTATAGATCCTATGTTGGAAGCAGAATGTCGCATTTTTATTTACTATAAGGTGATTTCCATTTATAACGGACAACAGATAAACGATGTTTTAATAGTGATTACAATGTTTTTGTAGAGACAAAAATAATTATCAGAATGTGTTTTGTGGAGATTTTTAGAAATTTTCACAGATTGAACTCATGAGTCAGTTGAAGCTAGACCACCACTGAAAACCTGGAAGCACTGGACGGCCGTTTCGTCCTAGTATGGGACTCCTCAGCAGTGCGCATCCACTAATAAATAAAGAAGTAGTGACCAGTGAAGTTCAACCAGGTCTGTTGTGAGATAGGAACTCACTGAAGATAATGGTGGATGTGTCTCTCAACTTCGTGGATTGGTTGAAGTTAGACATTAACACCGTTGGGTGCCGGCTCAGTGGTCTAATGGTCAAGTGCTCGCGCGCGAAGCTAGTAGGTCCTGGGTTCGAACCCCGGGTGGTGCGGGGTCGTGGATGCGCACTGCTGAGGAGTCCCATACTAGGACGAAACGGCCGTCCAGTGCTTCCAGGTTTTCAATGGTGGTCTAGCTTCAACTGACTCATGAGTTCAATCTGACAAAAATAATTGTCAAGGGCAAATTCGCAGGTTTACTGAAGCCTTGGTTATTCGCAAATTTACCACACCCCCCCCAGATGTGTACAAAAAAGATCTGTCGTAACCTCGAATTTATCCCGGTAATCCTTAAGTCATCTTATGGCCTAGGGTAATCCAACAATTTTCTGTACCATCTCTCAACTTTATTACCTTGTTTACTTGAACTTTCATTTAATTGACCTTTATTAATCCTTATACAAAATACCCTGACAAGTATATGTGTCACCAGATTGTTTGAAATATGTAGCACAAATACATCACATGTTTGAGATCAACTCCGTCCTTTCATTGCTCTATCGAAAGTTATAAAATGGACTAATTGCTTTAAAAATAAGCGTCTTGAAAAATCTCCGGTTCAGTATTAATGTCATTCCTGTTCCTGAACTGAATGCACTGGATAAAGATCGTTCTACTAGTGATAATTGTTGTAAAAATAAGAATTCCACATTTCCAAGAGATTAAAGTGTCGAAATTCATGCTCATTAAAAAAACACTATTAAGCTCTTTGATATATTTTCGTAAATATGAATTTTCATAGAACAATCACTACGTAAAAGATACGTATTAAATTTGTTCAGTATATAAGTGACTAACTAGTGACAATATTTGTTTCCTCGAACGAATAGCTTGATCATGACAATTAAAGGAGACAAGATTCAGCTTTACTAAAACCTGTAAAATACTATATTGAACTTAAGTACTAGTAGTGAGAGGTTCAGTTTCGAGACTACCGAATCTCACTTTCTATTATATACAGTTTGTTACAAAAAATTTCGTATCAGAAAATGAAAAACAAGCAATTCAAAAACATTTTAACTTACTTTAACAAATTGTTCTATCTTATCTACATCTTGTAATCGACAATAACAGTTAAGGAGTAATATTAAATGATCACTTGTTGACAAGTTTCGTTCTTTTAATGCTTCTAAATAAGTAGTTAACTGAATGATGTGACTGCCTTCAAGAAACTATTAAAAAGCAAAGTTCAAATAATTTACAAATAACATAATTTTGAAGCTTTTATGTCGTAACAGATGTAAAACTCCACCATTCTTAACATATAATTTTGTCAAGTTCATGGACTTATGACTATTGAGCCTGATGATGAAGTTATTGAAAAGGACGATTCGCTCAAATATTCCTTGTTTTTGAATAGTGAAAAAATTTATGATAAAAAACCTATGATAAAACTTGTATCAGTGGGATCATAGCAACTACATCATCACATTGCTTAGGTAATCATAAAAAATAACTGGTATAATGCAGTAACTATAAAAGAGCTAATTAACTAGACGAAACTTCGTATGTTTCATCATGAAAAACAATGAGACTGAAGTAAGCGAAGTAGATCTGAACAAGTCACCTAGTGGTTAAAAACAAAGGATATTATCATTTAGTGTTTACTTCAACTAGGGATGAACGAACCAAAACGCAACACCAGTTCATGGAATCATTAACTATTGGTTTGAGATATGTTCGCAAATGCAGAATACCCGGTTATGAATAATGAGATAATCACGATCAATGGTTGGAGGTTTTGTGTGAAGTGACCCATAACTAATCACAATGACGTAGATGCTCACACTCCTCATCTCGTTCCAGATCATGAAGGTCATTATTCCTTCATACACAACTCTACTGTGTTACTAGTATAGGGGTTATGGAGATTATTAAGTTTTTGATTGAGATCATGAACCGATTGATGTTAGATCACCACGATTGAAAACCTGGAAGCACTGGACGGCCGTTTCGTTCTATTGTGGGACTCCTCAGCAGTGTGCATTCACGATCCCGCTCACGGGATTCGAACCCAGGGCCATCGGTCTCGCGCGCGAACGCCTAACCAACTGGACCACTGAGCCGGAATCCAATGGTGATAGTTTCTAACATCAACCAGTCCACGAAATTGCGCGACCAACTTCCGTCGTACTGAGGTAGATACCTGTCTCTACCCGACAAGGATTAGCTCCACTGGTCACGGCTTCTCACTAGAACTCCGAGAATTCCCTCACGAAGCTAGTCACTAGTGAGCACATGTTGATTACTAGTATAGGGGTTGTGGAGAGTATTAAGTTTTTGATTGAGATCATGAACCGATTGATGTTAGACCACCACAATTGGAAACCTGGAAGCATTGGACGGCCGTTTCGTCCTATTGTGGGATCCCGTGAGCGGGATCATGGATGCGCACTGCTGAGGAGTCCCACAATAGGACAAAACGGCCGTCCAGTGCTTCCAGGTTTTCAATTGTGGTGGTCTAACATCAATCGGTTCATGATCTCTACTTTGTATTTTCGAACTATTTCCCCTCAATATTCATCTTGTTAATTTCATTCCGTCGTGGTAATATGATACAGGAACTCAGGCTAAAGTAAATTCGTACCCGATTCTACGTTGATGATCATTAAACGACTGAGTTATCACCTTATGATATAAGATCAAATGGTAAAATAAATTGGAGAGAAAAAGAGAAAGTATTCGTAATAAATGGTTGCATGTTTGACCTGGTCTTATATACTTCAATAAAAACAGAGGAGTGGTTATGTTTAATACGGAAAACCTAGTGCGGGTTATTAGTTTCATAGTGTTGCTCATCAATCTGTAAACCTTAATGGAAGCTATTAGGTAAAATAAAATGTATAGCTTGAATCTCTGAACTACCGAATAAGTACTTTTGCAAAAACTAATCGGAAATTTCTAGGAACTAATGTTGATTAAAAGTACGGAACTTATTGGAACGATTAGTAATACGAAATTTCCTTTGGGAAATATACTCATTTATAAATGGTGGTAACAAATTTTGGTGTTATACTTTTTTAGTTTTTAGTGGAATTTTGTTCTCTGAGCTGAGAGCTGAGCTCAGAGAAATAAATAGCTGTTAAACTAATGACAATGTTGCGGTAACTGTTGAAGATTTTGTTCGTTTGTTACAATCACAGAAGCAAACCACACCCAAAAAAATCCTAAAAGGACGCTACTACAAAAAGCAATCCAAACAGTCACTTCGAAATATAGATAAAATCATCATATTATCCAAACTACAGGCTTGATAATTATTTGGTTGTGAAGTTATTCGTTCAAAATTCATTGTGCGCTAAAATTTTAATTCATTCTTAGGTATTTTGAAATAAAAATTCTTCTGAAACATGAAAACAACAAACATACTTACTCTCTGGATAACAAATGACGCTTCAAGTTTACCAATTGTTTTGATATATTCACGAATAGATGCATCATAATCTTTTTGTCTGAAATGTAGAAGCGAAATAATACAAAAGTAATCCATGATTTTAGTGCACACAAGAAAATCAGTTGATTATTATTTAAGAAAAAGAGAGAAATAGTTATATTACAGAAAATATTTAGTTTTGAGGTGATGGACAACGCAATACGATGATTAGCGCTTTGAAGTTCAATAAGCTTCTTTACTTAATTTTGAAGTCTTTGTCATAATTGGGTTGTCTCATCATTACATGTCCAAGGAGTACGTAATTGAGGATTGCAAAGTATTAAAGAAAAGATACAAGACACCTTGAAAATAATCTTTAAGTTACACAGGTTGCGTTAATAGATAGAAAATCCGACAGATCGATCGGTCAGTTAAATGAAGTCAATTCGATTAAATTTATGGATATCAAGGTTAGAATTCATGAAATAACACATTTCCTTAAACATAGTGTAACAGAAGAGTGTACAGTGATTAAGTTGACCAGGTTACTATGAAGAAGTAGGATCGTATGTACAACAACGAAAAGCGAATGTCCGGCGCTTTAACCGGAACACAAACCAATGGTGCGCGTGGGCTACAGATCCTGCGGGAACAAATAACGTATGATTCAATCGTTGGTCACCGGCTACCATGGGACTGCATCTCATCACGATGCTCAACTGCCTTGTGGGTCAGACCTTTAGGTCAAAGGCTCGAGGTGTGGCCCCCTATGAAAACCACCCGCTTTAGTCTGGGCACCCGGGCAGTATCACAGACCACACACAAATAAAATGAAATGTCGATATTTATGGAAAATACTTGTCTTGCTTCGATTAACAATCAAACGGTTCACATTATTATTATCATTATTACTATTATTATTATTATTAACACCATTGGATACCGGCTCAGTGGTCTAGTTGGTTAAGCGCCTAGCGCGAAACTAATAGGTCCTGGGTTCGAATCTCGCGGAGTGCGGGATCCTGGATGCGCACTGCTGAGGAGTCCCATATTAAGACGGAACGGCCATCCAGTTACTACAGGTTTTCCATAGTGGTCTAGCTTCAATTGACTCATGATTTCAATCTGTGAAATTCCTAAAATCTCCACAAACCCGTTCTGATATTATTATTACTGTTATTATTATTTTTTTACGTCATTTATTCACTCTCTTTTATTTCCACTCTGTTTATCCTTATTTTTCGACTTATACAGCAGCTCGCCTATGATGGAAACGTTCTCGAGTCACTGTCCGGTTGAAAATTGTGTATTACCACCGAATACGAATACTGAAGCAGTTTCTCTGAAACCACGTGCACCATTCAAACTGGCTGCCTTCAACGTTCGCACATTTATGCTGGTCGGACAACAGATAGGGCTGGCTATGTCTTTGGAAAGTCTTAATATCGACGTTTATTGTCTATCCGAGACCCGTATTCAAGACCCTGGTGAAGTACTAAAAATTCGATCTCCATCTGTAGCTTCAAAGAGCTTGTTTTACGTGTGTTTATCCGGGGACCCTGTGGCATCGTCTGGTCTTGCTGGCCTAGGTGTCGCACTAAACGCTAGAGCTGAGGTAGCACTAGTTGATTGGATCCCCATTAACAGTCGGTTATGTGCTGTTAGATTAGAAAGTTCCATCAAAGTGAGAAGAGATCGGCGCGAGAAACGATGTCTTTTCGTCATCTCCGCCTATGCCCCGACAGATTGCGGCCCAGATGCAGTCAACAATGAATTCTACCACCAGTTAACTGTTCTTCTCCAGAAAGTGCGTTCGACAGATATTTTAGTACTAACCGGAGACTTGAAAGCTCAAGTCGGGCGTCTAGGCACAGAAGAGAGTCGTTTGGGTAGCCGATGAAGACTTGTTGATCGCAGGACAGATAACGGGGACCGTCTACTGCAACTGTGCACAGACCACAACCTAACTTCCGGCACAGTCATCGCCGATGTGCCACCTGGCGTCCTCCCTCTACATCTCAAGCCTGGACTCAGATTGATCACATCGCGATCAGCTACCACCGGCGTGGTTGTATAAAAGACTGCCGTTCCTTTTGTAGTACCTATCTGGACTCTGATCATGCCCTGGTCTGCGTCAATCTTACCTTACTTTTCAGTGGCCAACGGAGTGACTGTCACCAAGTTGGTTGCAACTTCTGTTGCAACTATGTATCGAACCGAGCTAGCTTCTAGGCTAGCTAACATCCCACCGAAAAGTAAAGATGAGCATTGGTTGCAATTCCATGACACCATCAAAATGGCGAGTAAAGTCGCTTGCGGATTCGCGAAACGTTTCGCTTATAAGCACTGGGTTTCTTCAGGCTCCTTACAACTCATTGAAGCCCGTCGGTCTACTTCGGGTAACCGTGAGTTTGACCACAAACGAAGGATGTTACGTAAGGAAATTGGGCAAAGCTTGCGTAAGGACCGAGAAGCCTGGTGGTCGGAGCGTGCTAATGAGTTTGAAGCAGTAGCTGCATCTGGTAACCACCAGAAGCTCTTCCAACTCGTCCGAACCACTGGCAGCAAGGAGTCTAGTGTGAGTGAAACAATTTGCGAGGATGATGGGATGCCAATCACTAACATCTATCGACATCGTGGACGATGGGCAGAATTCTTCGAAGGGCAGTTCAACTGGCCTGCTGCTCCGGCAACATCGGTCAGACTGTCCTGCCCTCCATGGCCGGTGACGACTGATTCACCAATCGAGGCGGAAGTCCACAAGGAACTCCAACTCTTGAAGCGCTACAAGTCACCAGGCCTAGATGACTTACCTCCGGATCTTTTTAAAGATGGTGGTGACTTTCTGACCAAGGAACTGACGGCGTTGTTTACAAAGGTCTGGGAGTTAGAGAGTGTACCAATGTCATGAGATAAGTCGATAGTTGTTTCTATCTTTAAAAAGGGTTCACGTCGTTCCTGTAACAACTATCGGGGGATAAGTCTACTTCCGATTGCGTCCAAGCTATTGGCTTCCGTCATACTTCGTAGGTTGTTCAAAACCCGAGAAAGATTGACTCACGAGGAGCAGGCTGGGTTTCGTTCTGGTCGAGGATGTATTGATCATATCTTCACCCTCCGCCAAATGTTAGAACACCGTCATACTTTTCAAAGGCCAACAATCGTAGTGTTTCTTGACATCAGGGCTGCCTTCGATTCGTTGGATAGGGATGTTCTATGGGATTGTCTATTGAAGAAGGGTGTGCCTGAGAAGTTTATTAGCATCCTGAAAGCCCTATATGCAAACACCTCAGTTAGAGTAAGGGCATACAACCACCTCTCTCCATTGTTCCATTCGAGCAGTGGGGTTAGGCAGGGTTGCCCAATCTCACCATTCCTCTTCAACTTTGCCATCGATGACATTCTGGAAACAGCTCTGGTGGATGTAAGTAATGGTGGTGTGGATCTGTTGTCTGGAGAAAGACTTCTCGACCTTAAGTATGCAGATGATATTGTCTTACTGTGCGATAATGCCCAAACCATGCAATTCTCACTTAATCCGTTAGCAATCAGTGTCCGTAGGTATATTATGTGCTTTGCACCTTTGAAGTGCAAAATACTTCTACAAGACTGGCAGGATTCTAATCCTGTACTCACCCTGGATGGTGAGCAGATAGAAGTAGTCGAGAAGTTCGTATATCTAGGTAGCTGCATAAGTGCTGGTGGTGGCGTGAGTGATGAGATCAATGCACGAATAGTGAAAGCCAGAGCGGCTTATGCCAATCTGGGCCACCTTTGGCGCCTTCGAGATGTTAGTCTGCTTGTAAAAGTTCGGATCTACAACGCGTCGGTGAGAGCAGTTTTGCTCTATGCTTGTGAAACCTGGCCTCTCCGAGTTGAGGACGTTAGAAGACTCTCTGTGTTTGATCATCGCTGTCTCCGAAGGATTGCTGACATCCAGTGGCAACACCATGTCAGTAATGCAGAGGTTCGGCATCGTGTGTTCGGGCACAGAGATGATAATTCAATTGGTGTCACCATGTTGAAACACCGACTCCGGTGGCTTGGACATGTTCTACGAATGTCGTCCCAGAGAATTCCACGCCGTGCATTATTTGCCGACTCTGGGACTGGTTGGAGAAAGCGGAGACGTGGTCAGTGCATGACATGATGTCGTGGTATGAAAGAAAGCTGCAAATGGCTGGCTTGTGTTGGTCCTTCACGACTCCCTGGTTGGGGTCCGAGAGATGGTACAACACAGTGGCTAGAGACGTTATCAGATATGGCTGAGAATAGAAGCCAGTGGCGATCATGCTGTAACCTTCTTTTACTTTCTCTATAAAACGTGGTTGTATCTTCCTTAACTGAAAGAATTCTTCTGGTTGTACCTTTCCTTTTCCCCCGTTATTACTATTATTATTATTACACTACCTTACACTAATCTGTTCGCTATTGTTCTTCTTTTTAACGCTCCTTACCTTTTTTTCTCTTCGAATTCTCATTGTTTTGTGTGGCGCAGATATATTGGCGCTCTCTTGTACCAATATTTATGTGTTCAAATAAATAAATAAATACAACAGGGTTATAATACTGATGAATGCTGAAAAATTTTGTTTCATAAAATCATTGACAGGAAATTATGAGATCTAGTAACAATAGTTTAAATTTCTAATTAGTCAGTTCTTGAAACAAACAAACCAATTAAAAGAATTAAATAAAAATAATGATCAGATGATAAGTTATATGTGAAATGATTATTCTATGAACATAACTTACTTATAAAGGTGATCAGCGTAACGCCAAAATATGTGAGCCAATTCATTTTCATCAAAATGTTGAGATTTAGCTATCCTAAAATGTAATTTAGAAAAATTACTTCATTTTATTAACTTTCACTAGCAGAAAATAAATATAGATATTAAAATTAGTTTAGATAATTATGCTAATTTGCCTTGGTTTCTATAGTCAACTCTAAGAACGACTGAGTTAGGATAATAATCGAACAATTTAGAATATGATATTTTAACAATATCATGCATTGTAAAACAACAAATTATAGATTTAAATGTTAACTTCGTACAGTTGAATGAAAGTGATATTTAAGAGTTATCAATTGAGTTAAGAACTGCCAGTAAATTTTGTTGATATTATTAACAGAGGTTACATTTACTTTATTTCGTATTTTAAGGTTGTTTTGCTGAATAGTTTAGGGTATCCAGATGATATATTTTATTTACATGGAGATAATAACCATATATAAAGGTATTTGAGTACTTAGAGGAGAATTTGTGGACTTTTTTCATATGTTCCAGCCTTGCTTAATAATAAAAATGATACATAAGGGTTAATATGTATAAACAAGAGGTTAAACTGTTACATTTATTAATTATCGAATTTGTCATGATGAGATAATGATAGATAGCCAAAGAAATTTAGACATATTCACACTTACGAAACCCATATTTTTGACAAAATATTTGTATATTTCTTAAGAATCAAGTAAACTGTTGTAATAACAGAAAGATAGTGTAAAAGTTGGAATCGTCGAAATTCATCGATTATAATTTTGGTTTATAGTTACTGAGTAGTTAAATTATCATGTATTTATTTTCCATTTATCTTAAGCTTCCGGTTAACATACAAAGTACTGTTATGTGACTTGCTACTTCTAATTATGTTGTCAGACTGGTACTTACAGTCTTCCTCATTCACAGCCATCTTTGGTTTGTTTTATTAATTTTCATTTTATGCATTCCGATATGCTTGTATGTAAAGCACGACAGTTCAAAATAAAAAGTTAATAGGAGATGGCTGTTGCTTTTGGACTCAAGGCCGGACAAAGAAAGGGACTTGAGGATGGTGGACCAATAGGAACCTAGCTGCTGACTCAAGGTTAATAGTGCTGATCGAACGTGCATTTGGCCAATTCGAAGACATTGGGCTGACGAGGAAATGGTAGACGTGAAATAGACCAAAATTAGAATTAGGATTCTAATTGGTGACTTGGCATATGATATCGGTCAGCGGTCTCGATACATTTATGATTTATTTCTGTAAACACATAAACATTGATACAAAGAGGCATCAAAATATATATCCACTACAGAAAATGTGTATGAAGGCCGAGATACTGTCCAGTTTCCCAAACCGAAGCAGGTGGTTTTCTTAGGAGATCACTCCCCAAGCCTTGGACCTAGAGATTCAGTCATTAAGGCAACGGAGCAACGTTAGTAGGTTCGATCTCATGGTCGCCGGTGAACAACAACAGGTTCATACGCCATTAGTTCCCTTAGGATCCTGGAGCTAATGTTCCCAATGGTGTGGAATCAGGGTTCTACAACTCCGCTAGGTGGATTCATTCAAATATCGTTTCAACTGTTGTAACTTATCGCTTGAGTTTGCAAAATCAGATATAAGTTCAATTAGCCATAGGCATGCCACCGAGAGATATCAAAAGCCAAGATAAAACAGTTTACATTCGAGATTCAGAACAATAACTTATAAACAGGTATTTAGTTTCAAATATTCCAAATGCATCAAATTCGCCAACCAGTATGTAAGATATCAGTTTTTCTCATTGGTTGTAAGGATCCTCAAATTACAATATATTGTTTTGATGTAAACATAAAGAATAGAGTCCGAAGTTTAACACCGATGCCCTATTAATACCAATCAGTCTTCCATACACGTAAACCTTTTACATGAAAATGTGTAAGTATGTCAAGTGAACGTATGTGTACACATATATAATGTTTCTGAGTGTATCAATAATGACTAGTTATTGTTTCTACGGTAATTTTTCTTTACTTCATAACAGTAAATAGGATGTTTACTACCACATTTAGTCGATAAACGAGTTGGTTTCTGTTCGATAACGTTGAATTAACCTCTCTTTTTTCATTGCCTATGCCCAATGTTAAATATTCGCTGTTGGTTCAAATGGAAGTGTGTCATACAACGAAAATAACAATAATAACTTGACAATACCATGTGCCTAACTTACTCAATAGCTAAATTGAAATTCTTTTTTGAAAATAACATGTCCAACTTAATTTGAGTATCTTTTTCAGTTAAACAAATCATCTGCAACAAAGTTTATACGAAATTAACTGAACAATAAGGAAAAGAAGAGATCATAAGGAAAATTACAGAATAATTCAATCAAACATTCCATTTATTTTGACAAAATGAGTTGTAATTATTTCAGTACGTTATTCTAATTTATTCTTACAATTACTCACTGGATTTTAATATTTGTTTAGTACGAAATTTATAATTATTTTAATGTAGTTATTAATTAATGTAAAGAAAAATTGTGTATAAAGAATGCTATTTTTACCATAAATTATACAATCATAACCGTAGGACAAGTTTGTCTTCCTTGATTTTGTGATTATCTTCTTGAGGTATCTTATTTCAGTCCCACGAAATCATCTTCCTTATGAAGTGCTGAGAGATTCTTAGTACACAGAATTTTTGTAAGTTTTCTTCAACACACTTCGGTATTTTTTTCAATTTGTCGGGTGTTTCAATTTGCTGGCAGTACATTTAGTGAGATATTTTACCATCATTGTATGAACTTCTACGGACAGATTAATTTTTATTACAATAATTTTATCACTTTATAACTCTGATCTTGAGCAGTGTTTCGAAGTGTTTGAATGTGAGCACTGATAGTGTACTTACTGAATTTTGACGAACATTTTGTCGGAGTTCAATTTGAAAATATTAATGCAATCGTTTACAAGATTTTGAGAACATAAGGGTGATTTCAATGAATGAACACAAACAATGAACCTTCGAAATTATACCCCCGATACTTTTGATACAACCTACAAATATTAAAAAGACCAAACATGGATACGATTAGCAGGCTCTTAGTTGATTGAAGCGCAATCGACCTGAGAAACTGATTATTTCCATTTCATTATGACATTAATTCGTGCTTATTTTTCCGGTAAGATTTTGTACAGAAGCATAATTTGAAGAGTTATAACTTATGTTTACTCATTGAAGTTAATATTGAGATCACTTAGTCTTGCGTACTATTGCGTTGATATCTTCACACTGTGTTGCGAAGAGCAGATTTTAACAATGGTGACTGAGGTAATTCATGAGTTTTAGGTCTAGAGATATCCGGTGCAAGTCCTAAAAAATCTCTCCTGATAAAGCTTATAACAATTGAAGGTGGTTATTTGAAGGAAAATCTCAACTGACGCAGACATGAAATTATTGTTTCAATAACAGATGAAAATTCGTCGGAACATCCATCTGTCACGACGTTGAATCAATCTGTTACATCCCACAAGACATCAACAGCTGAACGAATCGCTAATAATATTTTTTGAAGATTTCCATGATTCGTTTCCCAACATAACTTTTAATTCTTGGTTCAAACATCATAAAGATTTCTTCCAGGTTGAGTTGGCGCGTAACGCTAACTCGTGTTGGAGACGGTTGGAAAAAATTTAGAGGCGACCAAACCAAAACGTGTCATCAGTCCTTGAAGTCACTAACTTCTGGTTTTAGCCATGTTATTAGATGCACATTACTTAGTTGGGGTCCGCACGACTATTGTAACCAATTGTTGAAGACTCTGGGTGAAACGGCTCAGAATAGATCACAATGGCGTAGGTGTATACACTCTTTTTCTTCCCTTAAACAGTGAGATTAAAATTACTTTAATCCTTTCTTTCTACCAACTAATTCTTTCTTCCTGTACTAAATCCTGATATACAACCTTTCTTTCATATATTTTTACCATTGAAGTAACTACTTCTATGAACTTGGTGATTATCTCGTTATGCTAATGAGGTGTGGCAACTTGAACCGGCGCATATATGTACCGGGTCCTACGTTGTAGCTGACTGATTGCAAACCAACATGATGCATGGAAGATATGGTGACTGATGAGCAATCTTGATAACACAGAACAAGAAAGGCATCCAAGTTTTATATTACAATACAAACCACGAGATCCGAGTTCCGAAGAGATATCAAAAATATTGTCCCAGATTTTCGAAGACTAGTGTTAACTTTTTAGTACGTAATATCAATGTATGAGGCTCAGAAAATGAGAAACTGACAACGCGGTCACTTATGCAGCCATTGCTTAAGCAGAAAGTGAACACTTTGAGGTATAACCGACTAATTCAATTGTCTTATTCTTTATCTATGAACTATAACCTCTAAATGCTGACGCCCGCGCACATCTGCTGAGTAAAGTTGAGATGATACCCCCGATAATGTCACAAATAGTCACTGTGGAATGTAGACGACTGATAGATCTGAAATATGACACTGAGATGCTGAGGAAACCAGAGCAATTCAATGCATTACATGTGGTTGCAACTTCAAGAGGATCACATAGTCAACTCCTTCCTAACCAACAGCTTGAAAACGTCTACACCATGTTGGTACTGTGATGGATGGCATTTTACAAATCTTTTGGGAGTTGATTAAAGTTGGAAATCTCCACCTTTAGACTTCAATTCGATTATCTGAAATAATCCACTCTCCTTTTCTTGTGAAAAGTTCTAAGTTTAATCCATGGTAGGGTCGTAGATACGCTTGTCTTAAGAATCCTATATTTGGACGAAAGTGCTGCCCATTAATTCTTAGTTTCCAATAGCTGTTTGGCTGGAAACAGTTTGTGGTATCAGTCAGTCAGTAATAATTGCTAAACATAGAACATGGAAAAAATGAGTGTTTACCCATGCTGACATATCACATTAACACGACAAGATGAAATTAACAAGATGAATAGTAAAGAAATCGAAATAATGCAGTAGCAATGATAACAAGAAAGAACAGATATTGATAATATAGTTTGAAAACACAAAGTGGAGAGGAGTGTTTGAAGGAATACTGGCCTTCATGATTTAGAGTGAGATGAAGTGTGAAAGCAGTTTCGCCAATGTGATTGATTTTAAGGTATCTCACGCAACGTGTCGAACGACTGATTCAGGTTATTTTGCATACCCTAAGCAGATAATCTGCATCAGTCAACGAGGCTCAGACTAAAGGTCAATGATTTCATGGACCGATGGCACTTCTTAGTTCGACAGCACCTAGCTTTCCCCAAACGTACTTCTACAACAGCGAAGATTGATCTTGAAAGTAGATGGTGGTTAGGCATACGTAATAAGCATCTTAAACACCCTCAGTTGATAAGCATTCACTATCTTATCAACTGACTTACCATTTTCTACTAGTACCCTACGCCTAACCACATACCTGCTCACCTTATCGTCCACGGTGCACAAGCAATGCCTTGTCTACTCCTGAGGTGTAAACTATCTCCAAATTAAACTATCTTAACAAATCTCCAATCCTAGTAACACTCGCACATGTATGGATTGTAACGCATCCTAACTCAGGGAAGTAAAGATGAACTCCAAAGTTTAAAATCAATATAAAAGACAAAGAGAATAAAAATAAAAAACAACTTCACAAACTTTCGAAGTTGTTCCAACAACATCCTCATCTTTATTATTCAATGTATCTTCTATTGATTGATTGAAACATTCATTTCCACACAATAAATAAATACCATTCCACTCAATGAATAATGCTTTGAAGTAGGTGAAATGAAATTCACCAGCAACAAATTTATTATTATAATCTTGGATAACAATTGTACCCGAAGTAATATAATTAAATGATTGAGATGATGGGAGCGGTGGTGGAAGTGTTGTTCCTGTCCCTGTTGTCGTTGCAGTAGTGTTTGTTGTTGTTGCTACAGCTGATGATGAGGATGACAATGATTTCCTTATATCTTTATTTTTATATGATAAGTTTAAAAATGGGTTATAGGAATTGACTAGTGATTCTCTAGAAATAAAAGAAAGAAAAAAGAAGCACGCCACAGTTACTAACATATATGTGCGAAAGAGCTTTGATTGGTTCGTACATAGTACGAAAATAATCATTGTTATTATAATAAATTAGTTTATTCACCAGGTAATTAGGTACGAGACACATTCTATGTGTGAGGGTTAGTAAAGCTACCCAAATTGCCTTAACAGAAGTAGCTGGAGTGAAGTTCGAACTTGGGACTCGGCGGCTGAAAGTCCCTTAACCACTAAGCCACCTTTTTCATAATTCTGTTCCCCAACTATTCAGATAAAAAAGAGAAAACGATTGAATTTGTCGTTTCTGATCGTGTTAATCACATTGTATTTATTGTCGTGAGCAAAGCTATTCACTTATATTCATGTTCGTTACTATATGTGTATGCCTGGAGTATGTATGTGTTTGTTTACCACTTATCTAATTAACTATTTTGTGATTACATTAGCTCATGCAATGATCCATATAGATCTATTGATTCATTCAACCAATTCAAATGGGTGTGATTAAACTCATGCTTACTGAACACTTGGATGAAATGCAGTATTCCTGTTGCATTTCGTATTTGACTTTTGAATAACATTATTACCAAAATGGGGTTAGGTGAAGAATTGTGTATAAATTTAAATACAGTCAGATGATGTACTACAGTGATAGCACAGAACCAAACACGTTTAAATCCTTCTTATTAACACTCAGTAAATGATACACAGAATCTGGAGATTCAAATACAACTTATCCGTGGCGTTTAGATGTTTGATTGATGGAAGAATATGTAACGACTGAATTATATTTATGAAATGGGTAAAAGGTTAGTAACCAAGATGGCGATCTTGAGTAGTGAATATAATTAAGCACTAACTGAGCACAATTTGACTACCAGGTCAAATGATGCATCTGCAAGAATGATGGAGTTGGACAATTTTGACACTACATAATACTCGATTTAAAAAATACACACAAATCTATCGCTATAAATTACCCATGGTAGGTTAAGATATATACTGCTTAAAGTATAAATTCATTACACCAAAAATAGGCGAGGTTGGTTTTAAATCAAAAACCTAGTTAATGGTTAGATTTTAATAACACTATCGAATCTAGTCTCAGTAAATGAGTTAACACAATAAACTTATTGGTATGGGGCACTGAGGATATCGAAATTCTTATTTCAATGAAACTAGAAACCACATCACTAAGTGGTAGAATCACAAAACAAGATAGTAATCAACAATTAATGATTAGTCAATGAACTTCGGTATGGTCGAAACAAAGTGACCCAGGTGACCCGGGTGCTCAGACAGAAGCAGGTAACCATTCTTTGTCTCTCTTTAGACTCTACGTTTCAAAATAACAATTTGCCATTTTTATTCCAATATTTCATACTTTCTTCTCGAGTCACAGTGTCTATGCCTAATTGTTTCTAATACCACTCATACTGTTACTCCTTCCACTGCTTTTGCATCTCGCTGTTCTGATATGATGTGGCAACCTGAACCGATATGTGTGCGTCTATTTCTACACTGGTATGACTGATTGTGTTAACTGAAGTCCATAAAAGTAGCCCAGATAAACTAAAGATCTCAGATGCTCCATGAGTTCCCATGAAGTCGTAAACACACCAGGTGGATAAATAGTAAAAAGTATTTCAAATATGGATGTAATAATTTTACAGTAATTAATAATGGTAAACAGATTGTTTTTAGATTGCCAATATATAGATACCCTTGAATTTTGAAAATATTATACTTAGTTTTTCGGTAATTTAAAACTTGCTACACTGGAAATCATTTGGAACCCTAACATATACATCTAATGAAACTTTATTTTACCATCTGTTATGAAGTGGGAAATAATGTTAGTATTGTCAGATAGAAAGAAGATTGAGAGAAACCTAACTAAAACCACATTGATGAAATAGATATTTAAACAGTAACTTACCCGGTATTTTTCAGTATAATCAAATAATTTTTGTATGTTTCTAAAGCAATTTTTTCGCCATCTGTAGCTAAACAAGGTCCCCTACCATCCCAATTGTAGAAGTATACAGCCTTTAAAAAAAGATTATACAGTAATAATTGATGTGTATGTATAGGCTCAATATACATGAATAGTTATTAGGTCTTGCAAGAATGGCTATAAAATAAATGGTGTATCACCATAATACAATTTAGCCTAGCATAATCAGCCTATTTTATGTTATACAATAACGGATTCTGTGATATTTTTAGGTAGTAATTTACAAACTCACATCTGAACATGCCACAGCAAACTGAGGACTGGCTCCAGTAATATCATCAGTAAATAGCATAGTTGTACAGTGAGGTCGTACTCCAAACCGGTCCAGTACAGTCTACAAATACATTTATATGAAAAATATTTAAAAGTGAAACTGAGGATATGGAACAGTACTGATCAAAGCGTGTAGTAGGTTTTCGAAGCAAATTCATTAACGTACTATGTTATTTAAAATTTCATACGAAATAGAATTTAGAAGGGAAATATCAACGTAGCACGTATACAAGCACAACAAAATCATACTAATAACAAAATATCATATCTAAAACAATATATAATTTATTCCTGAAAACATAAATTGTAACAAAGCATGATCTAGAAAATATAACAGGTCTCGCATATCCTAGTTTTTAATTTTGAGGACTATAGAATTTGCAACTAAAACGAAAAGATATTAAGAAAAACAAAAGTTAGGTCACTTGCTTGAAAATAAACGAAGATGATGCAACCATATTCTATTCTTTGAGTTTTATTTCAGTTTGCACAATTTATAATTCGCCAGTTATGTAAATTGCTTCAGTACTCAGTTTATGATTTTGTAAGTGTCTTTATCTTTCAATTGATATTAATGAATGTAACCAATCAGTCAGTCAGTAACAACGTAGAACTTCGTACGTACGTACATCAGTTCGAGTTGCCACACCACCTTAGCACAGAGATGCAGTTGTCGATTCAAATCCCGTAGTGGTAGAGGTAGCAAGAGTATAAGCAGTAATCGGGAAGATTAGGGTTTGGAGATGTTATTTAAAGAGTATAATCCAGTGAAATAAATTTGGAAAGAGGAAAAAAGGCACATGAAGAATTCAGAAGATTAGAATTTGGGAGAACACAAAGAGTGGATGCACCTGCGCCATTGCAAACGATTTTGAGCCATGTCATTCAGGGTCTCTAACCATCGGTTGCTATCATCTCGTCGTCCCCAACCAGGTAGTCTACACCTACCAACATGACTCAGTCCACTTGTCAGTGACTTCATGGACTTGTGCCGTGTTTTGGTCTGGCCGCCTCTAGCTTTCCTCCAACCTACTCCTATACCACTGAACATAGCACGTCGAGGTAGTCGGTCGTTGGGCATACGTAACACGTGTCCCAGCCATCTCAACTGATGAAGTCTCACTACTTCATCAATTGATTTGCCATCCTTACCTAGTACCCGCTTCCTAACAACTGTGTTACTTACTCGATGGTCCCATGATATACGAGCAATGTTTCGAAGACACCTATGATCGAATACTAGTAACCTACGAATATCCTCTACTCTTACCGGCCATGTTTCACTGCCATAAAGTAGGACGGAACGAACTGCTGTGCAGTAAACACGTCCTTTGGTTGATAGACGGATATCTCGCCTACGCCATAAATGACGCAAGTTGGCAAAAGCTAGTCGAGCCTTCTGTATCCGTGCTGAGATTTCGTCACACACCAGACCACAAGGGCTGATGAGACTTCCAAGATAAGTGAAGCGGTCGACACACTCAACTACTTCACTCCCTAGCACTAGTTCGGGTGTCGATGTAACCCAATCCTGAAGCAACATTTTGCATTTGGAGGGAGAGAATCGCATCCCGAACATGCTTGCATTGTTGCTTAGAGTGGTCAGAAGACTCTGTATTTTGTCAGCGTCTTCACCAAATAAAACTATGTCATCAGCATATTCTAAGTCAACAAGTGAACCTCCCGGTAGAAGTTCAACCCCTGGAAATTTAGATGAGGAGAGTGTTATCTCTAAAAGTACGTCGACCACAAAGTTGAACAAGAATGGGGAGAGTGGACAGCCCTGACGAACACCACTTGAGGTAATCAATTCTGATGACAGTTCGCCATAAGCTCTCACTCTGCCAGTTGTGTTCGAGTAGAGAGCCTTTACAAGGTTAATGTACTTCTTTGGTACTCCTTTCAGTGACAAACACTGCCATTGAACCTCACGATCAACAGAGTCGAATGCCACCTTAAGGTCGAGAAATACTACCATTGTGGGGCGTCTGAATGTGTGTCTGTGTTCTAGAACCTGACGTAGTGTGAATATCTGATCTATACAACCACGTCCAGGTCGAAAACCGGCCTGGTTTTCTCTAATCTGCTCTTCACGAGCTTTGATTGGGCGTCGAAGTTATTTTATTTTATTTTATTTGAACACATAAATATTGGTACAAGAGAGCGCCAATATATATGCGCCACACAAAACAATGGGAATTCGAAGAGAAGTAGAAAGAAAAAAAAAAAAAAAAAGAAACTAAGGAACGCAAAAGAAAAAGAGAATAATGACGAAGATGTACAATCAGAAGAAATCTTTCAGGTAAAGGAGACACAACCACTTTTTATGAAGAAAGTAAAAGAAGGTTACAGCAGGATCGCCACTGGCTTCTATTCTGAGCCATATCTGATAACGTCTCTAGCCACTGTGTTGCACCATCTCTCGGACCCCAGCCAGGGAGTCGTGAAGGACCAACACAAGCCAGTCCTTTGCAGCTTTCTTTCATGCCACGACACCATGTCATGCACTGACCACCTCTCCGCTTCTTCCAACCAGTCCCAGAGTCGGCAAATAATGCACGACGTGGAATTCTCTGGGACGACATTCGGAGAACATGTCCAAGCCACCGAAGTCGGTGTTTCAAGATGGTGACACCAATTGAATTATCATCTCTGTGCCCGAACACACGATGCCCAACCTCTGCATTACTGACATGGTGTTGCCACTGAATGTCAGCAATCCTTCGGAGACAGCGATGATCAAACACAGAGAGTCGTCTAACGTCCTCAACTCGGAGAGGCCAGGTTTCACAAGCATAGAGCAAAACTGCTCTCACCGACGCGTTGTAGATCCGGCCTTTTACAGCCAGACTGACATCACGAAGGCGCCAAAGGTGGCCCAGATTGGCATAAGCCGCTCTGGCTTTCACTATTCGTGCATTGATCTCATCACTCACACCCCCACCAGCACTTATGCAGCTACCCAGATACACGAACTTCTCAACTACGTCTATCTGCTCACCATCCAGGGTGAGTACAGGATTGGGATCCTGCCAGTCTTGTAGAAGTACTTTGCACTTCGAAGGTGCAAAGCACATACCATACCTACGGACATTGATTGCCAACTGATTAAGTGCGGATTGCATGCCTTGGGCATTATCGCACAGTAAGACAATATCGTCCGCATACTCAAGGTCGAGAAGTCTTTCTCCAGGCAACAGATCCACACCACCATTACTTACATTCATCAGAGCTGTTTCCACAATGTCATCGATGGCAAAGTTGAAGAGGAATGGTGAGATTGGGCAACCCTGCCTAACCCCACTGCTCGAATGGAACAATGGAGAGAGGTGGTTGTATGCCCTCACTCTGCCTGAGGTGTTTTTATACAGGGCTTTTAGGATGTTAATAAACTTCTCAGGCACACCCTTCTTCAATAGACAATCCCAGAGAACAGTCCTATCCAACGAATCGAAGGCAGCCCTGATGTCAAGAAACACTACGATTGTTGGCCTTTGAAAAGTATGGCGGTGTTCTAACATTTGGCGGAGGGTGAAGATATGATCAATACATCCTCGACCAGAACGAAACCCAGCCTGCTCCTCGCGAGTCAATCTTTCTCGGGTTTTGAACAACCTACGAAGAATGACGGAAGCCAATAGCTTGGACGCAATCGGAAGTAAACTTATCCCCCGATAGTTGTTACAAGAACGACGTGAACCCTTTTTAAAGATAGGGACAACTATCGACTCATTCCATGACGTTGGTACACTCTCTAGATCCCAAACCTTTGTAAACAACGTCGTCAATTCCTTAGTCAAAAAGTCACCACCATCTTTAAAAAGAGCCGGAGGTAAGTCATCTGGGCCAGGTGATTTGTAACGCTTCAAGAGTTGGAGTTCCTTGTGGACTTCCTCCTCATTTGGTGGATCAGTCGTCACCGGCCATGGAGGGCAGGACAGTCTGACCGATGTTACCGGAGCAGCAGGCCAGTTGAACTGCCCTTCGAAAAATTCTGCCCATCGTCCAAGACGTCGATGGATGTTTGTGATTGGCATCCCATCATCCTCGCAGATTGTTTCACTCACACCAGACTTCTTGCTGCCAGTGGCTCGGATGAGTTGGAAGAGCTTCCGGTAGTTACCAGATGCAGCTGCTGCTTCCAGCTCATTAGCACGCATCGACCACCAGGCTTCTCGGTCCTTACGCAAGCTTTGCCCGATTTCCTTACATAACATCCTTCGTTTATGGTCAAACTCACGGTTACCCGGAGTAGACCGACGGGCTTCAATGAGTTGTAAGGAACCAGAAGAAACCCAGTGCTTAAAAGCGGGACGTTTCGCGAACCCACAACTGACTGTTCCCGCCATTTTCATGGCGTCATGCAATTGCAACCAATGCTCATCTATACTTTTCGGTGGAGTGGTAGCTAGCCTAGAGGCTAGCTCGGTTCGATACTTACTTGCAACAGAAGTTGCGACCAGCTTGCTAACATCAATCCGTTGATGGCGTTCACTTCGTTGTCCACTGAAAAGTAAGGCAAGATTGGCGCAGACCAAGGCATGGTCAGAGTCCAGATAGGTACTCCAAAAGGAGCGGCAGTCTTGTACACAACCACGCCAGCGGTAGCTGATCGCGATGTGATCAATCTGAGTCCAGGCTTGAGATGCAGAGGGAGGACGCCAGGTGGCACATCGGCGATGACTGTGCCGAAAGTTAGTGCTAGCCAGAAACAGGTTGTGGTCTGCGCAAAGTTGCAGTAGACGGTCCCCGTTATCTGACCTGCGACCAACGAGTCCCCATCGGCCACCTAAACGACTCTCTTCTGTGCCTAGACGCCCGACCTGAGCATTCAAGTCTCCGGCTAGTACTACAATATCTGTCGAACGCACTTTCTGGAGAAGAACTGATAACTGGTGGTAAAACTCATCCTTGATTGCATCCGGGCTGCAATCTGTCGGGGCATAGGCGGAGATGACGAAAAGACATCGTTTCTCACGCCGATTTCTTCTCACTTTGATGGAACTTTCTAATCTAACAGCACATAACCGACTGTTAATGGGGATCCAATCGACTAGTGCT